ATACCGAAAAATGCGTTGCTTCAGTGTGTTCAGGACAGCATTGACCAATACGGCCCCCTGTCATTTCAAAATGACGCAGGTATACCAGAGGGAAAATTCATGGCAATGCTAGAATTGTATTTGAGGTCGACTTTTGTAGAGTGGGACGGTAACCTATACCTGCAAAAGAGTGGCGTTTGTATAGGTTCCTGTTTAGCGCCATTTTTAAGTGACCTGTTTTTAGCTCGCGCAGGCAGGACCATTTCTAGCCTTCTCGAAGGTAGCGGTGTCATCAGGGTTTTTAGATTTGTAGATGATTTTTTAGTTCTCATAGACAAAAAGTTCATGGACACCGACCAAGTCGTTACTAACACCTTAACAATTTTTAGGCTTGTTTTATCGCCCTTAATAGTGACACACGAACTTTCGGTCGATTCGACTATAAGGTTTTTAGATCTTAGATTGTTTGGAACAACTGACCATACATGTTGGCAGTATGAGCCTCGTGCTAACAAACCATTACTACCTTTTAGCTCGTCCCATTCTAAGCTTGTCAAACGTAGCATCGCCAACATGTGCCTGCTGAATGCTTTCAAGAAATCCTGCCCACACAGAGCAGCAGACAGTTTCCTCAAGCAGGTTGACCGTCTTGAGCAGGCGGGCTATCCACAGCACACTTTGGTGTCAGTGGCGGAGAAGATTTTGAAGAAGTCGCGGAACTGCCACACAAGCGAAGGGTCACCCCAGGATAATGTTAAGCTTGCTGTGATTCCTTATATACACCGCGTTTCCCATAATCTGAAAAAGATTGCCGAACAGGTTGATGTAAAGGTGGTCTTCTCTGCGCCGTTAAAACTTTCCAGGCTCTGCAAGTTGACTAACCCCTTTCTCAGGAAAGCTCCGGCCTGCAATGTGAACCACCAGAACAAGTATGTAATTTGTCAGAAGGGTGTGGTCTACGAGTTCCCCTGTTCGTGTGGTAGATGGTACGTAGGCCATACCGAGCAATGCCTGAATGATAGGCTAAGACAGCATAATAACAACGTCAGAAATGGCAGAGAGGGCCACCTCGCAATTCACTGCCGGGATTGTCATTGCGTTCCTAACTTTAGCGCCTGCGCGGTAGTCGCCCGAAGCCCTGATAAATCAGTAAGACTAATCATTGAGGCCAAGAGAATAATCGAATTAGGTGATCTGTGCGTCAGCGTAGCCTCCATTTCTTTATCGCCAAAGGAGTTACGCTACTTAAATGCGGCTGCGCATTAAGGCACGGTGACGGCGCGCGCGGTGTCTATATATGTTCTGTGCTCTTTCGAAATAAATCTTTGTTGGAAGTGGCGCTCCGTGTGTGTGTACTGTCTCTCTTCGTCCGTGTCGTTTTCGCGCCTTAAGCTGCAAATATGTTAAACCAACAAGCCCAGTCTGCTATTCTTACATCGTATATTTCTAGTACATCGGGCTCTCTTTTATGTGTTTCCAATCCAAGCACCACAGTCGCGTTGATCGCCGTCGCCACATGCAAAGCTCGCATGCTGTCTTTCTGCAATCGTCACCGGATTTTGCCTGAGGACGTGAGGCTACTGTTCGGAGGCTTCAGCCCTTCAATGGGTCATGGGAAGCGCATCTGCAGCATCCTCAAGTCGGAATGGTCAAGGCAGGCACGCCTTTACCGAATACACCTTGAAGGCCAACTACACAGCTCATTGGGAGCGGAGCAAGCACAGCGGGCGTTTCGGCATTTCAGTCATCTGGCCAATCAGACAACCGAATCCCTCTGGCAGTGCACTTTGTCACAACTGCGAGCACATCATCGTCCAAAAGTGAAAACGGTACAAGTGAACAGAATCTACACCGAAGGAAACGTCACGTTACCAGAGGATATCTGCAAGGGTCTCGCCTTAGGGCCAAAGTTCGCCGTGCAGCCGCGGACCTCCGGTCCGGAGCTGCTCTCCTTGGTGCACAAGGTGTCTGGCCTAGCTCCCGCGAGTGAAATGGATAGATGTGTTTCTAGTGGTGTAGATGTACTTCTACGTGACCAACGGGAACCAAGGCGTCCTATTGTTCGTCGTTTGGCGTCCTACCTGAAAACGAACTCATACTGCGTTCTCCCTTCGGACAAGGAAGGTGGATTCGCCGTCTTCCCACGGGACCTTTACAAGGTGAAAGCGCTTGAAGCGTTGAGTTCTGTATTTCAATGCCGCGAGAACGTCCAGATCAACAAACTAAAAAGTGAAGCTAAAAAACTATGTGAGAGTATGAACCTTTCAAAGTTGGTTAGGGACGTCGCAAACAGCAAATCAGGCACTCTCGAGGTCTTCTTCAGTGCAAAGACTCATAAGGAGGGTTGCCCCCTCAGAGTAATCGTGTCAGAACGTAACACTTGGCAGAAATGCCTTGCCGTCTTCCTGCTCGATAAGTTCCGGCTTCTTAAGGTTGACGATCCCTATCGGGTGAAAGATTCCAGCGAAGTAGTAGACTTTCTTGCCGGACAAGTAGGGGTAGCCCTCGACGCCTTTTCCATTGATCTGAAAGACTTGTATTATTCTATACCGAAAAATGCGTTGCTTCAGTGTGTTCAGGACAGCATTGACCAATACGGCCCCCTGTCATTTCAAAATGACGCAGGTATACCAGAGGGAAAATTCATGGCAATGCTAGAATTGTATTTGAGGTCGACTTTTGTAGAGTGGGACGGTAACCTATACCTGCAAAAGAGTGGCGTTTGTATAGGTTCCTGTTTAGCGCCATTTTTAAGTGACCTGTTTTTAGCTCGCGCAGGCAGGACCATTTCTAGCCTTCTCGAAGGTAGCGGTGTCATCAGGGTTTTTAGATTTGTAGATGATTTTTTAGTTCTCATAGACAAAAAGTTCATGGACACCGACCAAGTCGTTACTAACACCTTAACAATTTTTAGGCTTGTTTTATCGCCCTTAATAGTGACACACGAACTTTCGGTCGATTCGACTATAAGGTTTTTAGATCTTAGATTGTTTGTAACAACTGACCATACATGTTGGCAGTATGAGCCTCGTGCTAACAAACCATTACTACCTTTTAGCTCGTCCCATTCTAAGCTTGTCAAACGTAGCATCGCCAACATGTGCCTGCTGAATGCTTTCAAGAAATCCTGCCCACACAGAGCAGCAGACAGTTTCCTCAAGCAGGTTGACCGTCTTGAGCAGGCGGGCTATCCACAGCACACTTTGGTGTCAGTGGCGGAGAAGATTTTGAAGAAGTCGCGGAACTGCCACACAAGCGAAGGGTCACCCCAGGATAATGTTAAGCTTGCTGTGATTCCTTATATACACCGCGTTTCCCATAATCTGAAAAAGATTGCCGAACAGGTTGATGTAAAGGTGGTCTTCTCTGCGCCGTTAAAACTTTCCAGGCTCTGCAAGTTGACTAACCCCTTTCTCAGGAAAGCTCCGGCCTGCAATGTGAACCACCAGAACAAGTATGTAATTTGTCAGAAGGGTGTGGTCTACGAGTTCCCCTGTTCGTGTGGTAGATGGTACGTAGGCCATACCGAGCAATGCCTGAATGATAGGCTAAGACAGCATAATAACAACGTCAGAAATGGCAGAGAGGGCCACCTCGCAATTCACTGCCGGGATTGTCATTGCGTTCCTAACTTTAGCGCCTGCGCGGTAGTCGCCCGAAGCCCTGATAAATCAGTAAGACTAATCATTGAGGCCAAGAGAATAATCGAATTAGGTGATCTGTGCGTCAGCGTAGCCTCCATTTCTTTATCGCCAAAGGAGTTACGCTACTTAAATGCGGCTGCGCATTAAGGCACGGTGACGGCGCGCGCGGTGTCTATATATGTTCTGTGCTCTTTCGAAATAAATCTTTGTTGGAAGTGGCGCTCCGTGTGTGTGTACTGTCTCTCTTCGTCCGTGTCGTTTTCGCGCCTTAAGCTGCAAATATGTTAAACCAACAAGCCCAGTCTGCTATTCTTGCATTTGGAATATTCCATGGCTGAAATGTGTAGTACAAGTATGTGCAAAATGTCAGCTGCTTCCAAAGTGCACTGTGACATCATCGTGGGTTCTACAAACACGGAAGCCATCACTATGGCTGGCACCGTAGGGTGCCGACTGCCTGTAGTTGCCAGGTTACCAGGCAGTTGTCTACCTTATACAAGCATGACACCAATTAGCCGGAATTCAACAGCTCTCCAAATTATGAGAGCCGTGAGAAGGCATGACCTTTGATGCATGCCGTCTTCGTGCACCTTTTTTCTCTCTGCAGTCTCTCTCCCTTTGCCTAACGCTACAGATTACAATCAGAGAGGCAGGTGAAAAGAGTGACAATACACTTCATGCGACTGGATTGCCTTTTAGCACAACTCAGTGCATAGCTGCTCGGCATGTTTTATTTTGGAGGAGGCGGTTACCGTGGCTGGCTGCCATGGTCGTTTGGTGAGGGCTTCCTGCTTGTACACCTAGCGTTGGAAATTGCTCAAGCTTAGGAGGCGTATCTGGTATAGGCCTGCACATGAGGAGGTGCCCCCTCCCCTCCTCTCCTCTCCTCCCCCCACCCAGTCACCTAAAAGTGTGGAAAGTGTGGGGTACAAAGTCTGCTCCATACTTTGAATTAACGGAAGGCGGGGACGGTGCACTGCAATGAACCTTTCCCCCTTCCTGAAGGAGAACTCTGAGCACGCCTATAGTACCAGGAATAAGTGGACAGGTTGTTTCATGATGCTTCACACCTGGTGCAGCAGAGGCAGTCAGCAAACATATAAAAATTTTTTTGTTCGGAATAAAGCGAGTCATCTTCTTGATTTTTGCCCTCGTTTTGATGGCAGAGTTTTTGGGTGATACGAAACATTCTGTACTGCCTTATGAGATTCGTATCACATGACTTTATGGAAACATTGGACATCACATATCAAAACGGAGCCAGAAAAAAGCGGGGAAAAAAAATTCCTTAGTAACGAAAAGACCAGGCCTTCTTTAGCCTGGTGTGCCTGAGGATCGAAGCACTGTGGCATTCAGGGGTACGAATCCAACGCTCACCACTTGGAGAAGCAATGACCGGTTGCGTGTGCCTCGATTCAGTGGGCACAGAGAGGGAGATGGCGAGCACAGATCCGAGGTGGGTGCCAATCCAAAGACTAGGAGATGTTGATGTGTCTGTGCAAGGCAAACAAAACGCATGACTGAGTCATAACGTGTACAGCTACATATATATCACACTTTGTGTTATACAGAATTTGAAAAGAAAAGTTTGGGCATGTCCTTTTATTTTATTTCCAGCTGCCCATGTACGTTAGTGTGCTGCTTCATGAAAACACCTAAAGTAATGACAAAATTTACAAGAGAATTACAGAACAGCAGTACGACTTTCTCACAGCTTAACTTCAGAAGTGACTTGTTTTGTTGGTTATTGCCACGATAACCTTCTTAATTGCAGGAATTTGTGTTGGACACCAGCTTGCACTGTTAACATGGCAGCAATGAAGTCACTTGAGTCCTCTCTCGGCATCCTCTCCAACATGGTAAGCAAGTCTATACCGAAGCTTGTTCATAAAAGCAAAGAGTGTTTAAAAACAAAACCATTGCTTCCCAGTGTTAGGTATTTTTCCTTATTCCGTTTGTTATGTTGAGAATTTCAGTGTGTCTAGAGAACAAAAACAGGAGAAATAGTAGGCCAACATATATCAAGAAACACTGTACACAAAAACTCGATGTACGTATGTCATTTAACACACTACCCAATCTCGCGTCTTCTGCGAAGTCGGCTACTCACCACTTTTTCGACAGAAGGCTTCGGCATAGCTAAGACAAAGGATTGCTTCGGAACTAATATTTTCTAAACTTGACATGCTTGAGCTTCGTGACCGTGAGAAAGAGCTGTCCAGCTTGTCTGAAACAGACATCACAAAGTGATCAGACGTACCACAATGAAAGGATTAAAGGACTGCCACGACGACCGTGCGGCTCTACGGGGATAAATGTGCAGCATCTAATTGTCTCTACAACATGCATTTGCACTTTGATATAAAACAATGTCGTGTTATGTCTACGTATGACAGCTACACACCTTTACTTAAAAAAAAAGTTAGATCATACTCAAATTGGCAGCTACTTAGTAACTCATACAAAAGAACAAACCTTTCACAATACATACGCAAAAAGTTCTAACTAGCCACAAATTGGGACGCCATTGTTATGACCGTCATCATTATTGAAGTGTTTCGGTCTTTGTGAACGGGACGAAAATATTTCGACTCATTCCAAGCAAGGGTGTGCCGTTAAGGCGGGTTTATTTCCTGTCAGCAAAACGTGAACGAGGAGTCCGAGACTGGTTCGCGCAAAGAAAACGCACGAGCCAAGAAAGGCCATTGTGAACTGGACTCTATGCAAGGCTTTCGAGGCGAACAAGGAAGCATTGGGGCCATTTTCGAGGTCATTGAGGATCTGAAAAGACCGGAGCATGGTATTTGCAGTTTGCGCTAAAGCTAAAACCAAACTGGTTGTGGGTGCACCTTGCGAGGAGAAGCGGAGCCCCGAAAATTCGCAGCTAAGCCGCACCTTCTAGCAAACAACGAGGAATGGAATGTGGGGTTGAAGGAAAGGAAAAGGCCCTATCTGCTGTGGGAGCCCGCCACGACGACAAGGGATCAGTCGACCACTCCCCCTTCCCCCTTTCTCCATATGATCGGCTGAAGGGAGTGGCATGTTTTGACGATATGCTGGTGGACTACTACATTGTCCTACCCGAATGCAGTCAGGCAAGTTCGACACGTGTATTGGGAGCCGGTTTTTCGAACCTTACCCAACTGCCAGAAGAGTTCTTGACAACCAAGGTCATCTAAGATCATCGGACATGCGGGAAATCTTGGTGACGTGTGGGAAACGTCAGTGCAGTGCATTTGTGAGCATATTTGAGCATCGTGTAGACTGTGCCCTCTCCACGTGCATTGTGTGGTATCTTTCCCCGCCTTCATGAATGGAGCACCTAGACCATCGAGCGCCGTATTGGCTGAACCCGCGGAGAATGCACCCAGGGTTGGCAACGTGGCGCTATACAAGCGGAAGCCTTTTTGTATATTTAAGTTCCACAGTTCATCAGTTCTCCTGTACAGTTCTTGACTTCTCGTATTCGATCACTCGATCACCTCCTTTCGAATTCTCAGTTACTAACCATTTAAATAAATTGTTCTCGTTATTACGAGCACCTCATCTGACTTGTTTGACGATGGGTCGTAGGACGGGGGCCCGCTACCAAACTGAGATCTGCAGGACCCGGAGTCGCAACACCATCCAACTGCATAATCATAGTGCACTATAGACAAAACCAAGTCTGTAGCGCATAATAATGAGATTATGTGTAGAGGTGGTTTATGACACACTGCGCACTAAAACCAGTTTGCACTTCTTAGGCGTGCATTTTTGTCCTAGAACGATCATTGTCAGTCCCGCGTGTGTCATTCTTCTCAAAAGTTCTGCACTAGCTATCTTCCTGCCAAAAAAGCTCGAAAGAAGGGGGACTGATCAAGGACTCATTTTCTTCATTAGACGCAATCTCATGAAACCAACAGACCGTGAAGCTAAAGATGCTATGGGAGACATTATTGTTAACTTTTAACAGTAGTGTAATAATTATCACATAAATGAAGACGAATCAAAATAAATGAAAAGTCAACTTGACGATGGCAGGAACTGAACCAGCGAACTTCGTATAAACCTTCGTATAATATGTCCAATGCTCCACTAACTGAGCTACAGAAATGGTCACTATCCCATCCACCTAATTAAGCATTTATGTGCCATCTACCAAGAAAGTGCTATCTACCAGCACTTTTTTTCTATTTCTGGACGTGTAAATTTTACCTAGATGAAAGAGCACTACATAATGTGGACACAAAGCTGGATGACAGCCTCCCACTTGATATTAGTTCGCACATTTTGCACATAGTGTTTACTCTGATATCTAGCTTTTTTATGTACTAGCTAGAGGTAGTGAGTTTATACGAGCACTTGGAAGTCCTGAACTGTCCCTATTCTCAAATCTTGTCAAAAAGAATTCTTGCTCAGTTGACATCCTTTAACTAAATTTTCAGACTAGTAATAAGAAAGCTCACAGTAAAGCCACTCCTATACATTGAATTTTGTCATACTACAACATATCAGAGCACACAAGAATCATCATGAAAACGCATAGCTCACATAGGCAAATTCCAGCAGCCGCTGCACAATACATGCGTAGCATCCCAGAGTCTCCACTTACTGTCCTAACAACACCGCAAGCTCCAGCAACTTTGTCACAGCTCAAACAATATATATATACTCAGCCATCTACTGTTAACACTAATTATGTACAGGGAGTGCATGTCACGTGACACATGCAGTGCTGGCATATCCACGAGGGACTACATCTAACACACAGATGATGTCAATGAAGTGTTTTTCTACCTATGTTCAAACATTGCACATAACACTACAACATTAGACGCCTCCTTTACAGTATCTGCCTGAATGCCGTAAAATTAATTTTCAGAGTTTGAATACCTAGCAGCTGCTTCAGATGCATTTAACAAGTCTACGCAGGACCACCTGTATAACTTAGAACTGTAGACGAGCTTAGATATTCGTGTAACAAAACAAAGTCTTTTTAAATGCCAAAGTAGAAGCTGCTGGATCTGTGCTTGTGACTAGTTCTAGTGAAGAGTATAAGAAAACTACAAACAAAAACACATTTACATCACCACTATAGAAAAGTGAAAAAGCTAGAAAACTAGCATTACAATGCTCGAATGCTCTTCTTTAACTTGTCAAAGCTGAACACCTTCAATATGAAGTCTCCTCAATATTGTGACTGTTCAACTTAACAATGACAGCATGCAATGCAAATCAAAAAAAGAGGAAACGATGAATTTCAAAGTTGCATCGTGTAGCAGTTCCCTTGTTCCCAATTCCCAGTACCAGCATCAGCCGAAAAGACAAAACCTGATCAGAAATTGAATCAGAGGCAGTCGAACAAATGCGCAGCATTGGCAACTGAGAACTGCTGCACAGCACAAACCCCACGTTAAAAGAGTACCAGCACACATTTTCGACGCTTTTCGCACATGGGAAGATAATACCCAACAAATGTAAAGGTTGCAAAACATTTGCAACATATCACTTGCAATATTAAAGCTGGTCTTGAAATTCCAGATCTGACCATCGTCACTGTTGTTACAACGTCATGACACACAGAAAAATTGGCAGATATGCGTCTCTGGCACTTGTCAGTACTTCCTCTAGGTTAGAAAGAATTTCAACTTTTACATAGTGCGAAAATACGGGAGTCAAAAATGATTGGTAATCCTTCAACATACAGTTTGCATGAATGTTACACACTGATAGCCCATGCAAGCCATGGCTGAGGGGCCAAAATGCAACGCTGCGCTGCGGGTCAGCGCAGCTATGAGGGTAAATGGAGGTGGTGGTGGTGGTTGGTTGGTGACACAGAAAAAGCAGCACACCAAAAGCCTGGCCATACCCAGCGCCAAGAACAAGTGGGGCGTACCATCTCGCTGATAAGCGACACTGGGAGACTTCAGACCTTGCCGCTCATTTCTAGGTGTTTGAGGATTTCCTAACAAGAAAGCAGCACTTACGAGCAGCCCCTCACAACAGCCGCGTAACAACACTGGTTTCATCAAGACAAGGGTTAAGACAACTGAGACATTGAACTGCTATTGGAAGCACGATGAAGACAAGTGGCACAGTCTAATGCCCACCCGAAGGCAAGGTCAGATTGAACAAAACTGTAAGTGGCAACAGATCGAGAATGCAGTGGCAAGCTACTGTTGAAATAAACACTAGTGCACGTACGCCTATCCGATTATAATTTGCTTTTCTATCCCTTGATACATATGTACGCACAGGCTGTACGATGCACTGGCATTGACCATCTCATCATATATATATAAAAAAAAGAGTGGGGAGTTTGTAGCCCACTTGTAAGATTGAGGTACAACTTAACTCAGACTTCAAGCATGAATCTTTGTGCTGCTGTGCTGACCTTGCATTTCACGTTTTATTGAGGCGGGCAGCAAGTGAAGAGGATCTTTAGACACTAGACCAGATTGAATACCAGGTAACAAGCACATTCAGTATATTGCTACCCTTTTCAAGCCACCACATATCACGACACATGCATTCATGCTAGAAGCTTCCTTCTCTGTCCTAATTCTTTTGGATCTCGGCTGCTCGGGTATGCAATGCATGAACATCATGCGTTTTTCATAGTACAACTTGACCAAGGCATCCCGTTCAACTTAGAACTCTCCCCCCACGCTTTGCAGCCATATTGATAAGAGGGCACTGTACCATCTGCACAGCACACTAGCATGAAAGTAGCCTTTTCTGCATTCTTGACCTGCCACTATTATTTCACACACTCACACAGTGCAGTGGCATGAAAGCCAGAGATAAGGCACACAACTGCACACGCCAGATAAACATTGAGGTTTTTTAAACTTCTGCTTATAGGTACAAATATTAAGCAGAGAGTAGTCAACTAAAGTAACTAAAATTGACCTTCCCTTGGACTATATGAAATATGAATGGCAGTCTAGCTCCTCCTGCAACCTAAACAGGCAACCATCAGCATACTCAAATTATCGGTATCATCATCCCCAAAGTACTGCTTTTTCATTTAACATGACATACAGTATGCTTCAAAGTGATCACAAACAACCAGCTAGAAAGGTTGATGCATGTTAATTTAGGCAATGTAAAGCAATACCAACATGGAAATATGTATTGTCACTATCATAAGTGAAGTAGAGACAGTCAAGCAGAGGCTATCAAGTGAATTTAGAATTATCTTCTTAACTCAACTATCTATATTCTGATCTAATCTCTTCTGCCAGAAGACACTCATTGTGGATGACAAAAATAAAACACTTATATTAGTTTTAAATGTTTCACATAGGCCACCAGTAGCCTGCAAATCTGCTATATTTTCTGGCTACATAGCAGTTATCTGGCAAGAGCAATCTTTACACATTTAATCATTCTTGTTGACTAATTATGACTAACTTGTCTTTTAGCACAGCAACTGAAACAATATCTGTTCTGTCGTGATCAGCTAGTTATCTGGCAAGACCAATCATTGCACACTTTATAATTCTTGTTGACTAATTTCGACTAACTTGTCTTTTAGCGCAACAACTGAAACAATATCTGTTCTGTCGCGATCAGCTAGCCACAAGAGTTTATGGGCACGCGCACAGCCCAGAAGTCCTGAATTGCGAAGGCAAGATGCAATGTATACAGAAGATCATAACTAACACAAAGCCATTTTTAAAAAATAACAGAGAAAGATTCTGTTAAAATGAAACCAACTGTACATAGTAAGAGAACGCCTGGACAAACCTCCAGTATTTTTGTGCTATTAAAACATGTTTATTAGTAATGACTACCAATTCATTAATAAATTCAATGATAAACTTAGTGCTGAGTATATGACTTTTGTCAAGCATGTTTGAAGGCACCACTTTTAAAAGTTCACCATGGGCTGCCTCTAGCATAAGCCCTTTCATTTAGTATTTTTCAAATTTAAAGTAAGTCACTTGTGCCACATCAGCAATGGGCCTCAACTTTACAACGATACTGCACATTTCTTTAAACCCAGAAAAGAAGTTTCACTGGCAATTACGCATTGCAAACAACAGACAGTTGTACTTTTATGCAACCTCTCATGTAAGCTCGCGCTGACACTGTGGCTGTAAGGTTATTCTATGTCAGTTGGCACATCTTGTAAAATGCACACGCAAACTAGGTGCACAACTTATCATCGTTCGACAAAGCTACAGATTGCCAGACATCAATACAAATAAGCTACGCCTTGCAGCAGCCTTTTACTGAACGCACAACAAATTGGCAACACATGAAACCGCACAAAGAACCAAACCTGCACCACACAAAAGAGTTCACCCAAGAAGGTGTGATAGAGAAAGAAAGAAAGAAAGAAAGAGTAAAAAAATAAAAGCCGAGCTCTTCAGCCACCTGGTAAAGTGTTGAAACTGGGTGGTTCCTCAGTGGAAACCAAGTTGGGAAGTTTCTGAAGTTTGCGAGACTTATTGCGGCGGGAGTCTGCTTGCCGCTTCGACTGAGTTGGCTGGGCTGCAAGTGTGCCGCTATTGCAAAGACCGTTAATCTGAGGAAGGAGGAGGAGGAGGACAAGTGTCAGCAACACAGCAGCCCGTTACCCACGACAGCATCGCAGCTTGCTCGGACGCGTCGTGCACGACAAGCGTTTCGAGACACAGATCGAGGCACACGTAATGCATCAGCAGTGCTGAAAAACAGCCTGAAGCGACTTTTTCGATAGCGCTTAGACGATCACTATGCCAAATTCAACCCTGGGAGGAGCTTCTTTCGGCTGTGATTTATCAGTTTCTGGCCCGTCATATCGGTGCTGGGCCACAGGCGCAGTATCACAGTAATGCTTACTGTGACGCTAAGATTCAGCTGGCTGACGAGTAACTCCATCTTTTAAGTTGCATACCTGATTAGCGCACCACTGAGAACTTAATTTGTCAAGAAAGTGCTATAACATGTCCAACAAAAGTCCGATCTGCGTCTTGGGACGCTTTCCGCTTTCACAAGCCACACCTTGTCAACCCTGCGCTGCTTCACCTAATGCACGGTCTGTACAAGAACACACACACACACACAATGGCTGTCTTTTCTCAAGGTTCTGAAAGCAGGTGCACCTACCTATAGACCTCTGCTCCCAGCCAATACAGGAGGGCACAATTAGCACGGGACAGTCAGGAACCAGTGGTGGTGGTGGTGTTGGTGGTATTGGTGAAGGTGATGTGAGGGTGATTTGACAAGAGATGAGTGGGCATGAGGTGACGGTGAGGGAGGGGAAGTAGAGGAGAAAAAAAAAATGAGGCATACGGAGCACGCAACAGGTGCCAGCAAGGCAATGAGCACGCATGTGAACTCTCCACTGTGGGTCACGGCACAAGGGAATAGAGCGGTGTGTGTAACTTGCACAAGCCGGTTCGAAAATGCTGCGAGACTTTTGAAGGTTTATGTGCACAGCAAGAAAGCTGCATTAAGAACTATACAAAAAAAGAGAAAAAAATGTTTAGGAGAAGTATGGAAACAGTGCCTTTTTTTTTTTTGTGTGGGTGTGTGTCAATCGTCCTGTACCAATCAACAGTTTTACAAGCTGCCGTTTACAATGAAAGAAATGGCTTAAATATTTCAAGAGTGTTGATGTTTTTAATGAAAGCATTAAGGCCGTTTAAGTATAACTCATCTTTCATTGCACTTAGATTTACAAAGGGCAACTCGATTTTCTCACACAGCTGACACTGCATACTGAATTAAAATGTGTTTTACAGATAAATAGCAGTTTATAAAAGATTTACCCCATGATCTTATCAGTCTCACCAGAGTTCTCATTACCACATGGTAATGAGAACATGAAAGGCTGGGTCAGATATGATACAAGATATATATGATATCACTTTAATAGAGTGGGCCAAAAGCATTTCCTAGCAATTCTGTCAATCAAGTCACCCAGAGATTCCTAAGCGATTCAGAAATGTGCAACCTCCTGAATTCAATGAAGGAGTGACATCAAAGTCACACACTTCAGCAGCATTGGTATCTGCACATCTTTCCAAATCACCAAGCTAAACATGGCATTAAGAGGTGACAGCCAAAATTATATGCTGTGGCATATCTGTCTTCATGCTTCATTTACGTTACCTGTTGAATTGATAGTGTTTTTTTCTACTGCTATAAAAAAACCAACAGTTTTACATAAACAGCTCAATGCTCAGGTAGTTTCATATTTGCACGTGTATAGCGTGACAATAACTTTAAAATGGACACTGATTGAATTCTCAGGTGCAAAGCTGGAACCAACAGCGGAGCTAGTGTTCGGACTTCCGAGAAAGAAGCTACTCTCCCAAGCCTGTGTCACTGTCCTGCAAATGAAATGGATCTAATTGGAAACATGTATGCGACTAGCGTGAGGTGATTTTTTGCAGGAACTTGTGACGTGACTACTGTTGTGCGATTTTACATCACGCGACCAGCCTTACTTACATTTGGCAGAAACGTGTTATGCGACCAAGTGTTACATGATTTTAGCGGGGACATGTCTCGTGACCAGTGTTACGTGAATTTGATGGGAACATGTCACATGACTAGAGTTACGTGTTCTTAAGTCACGTTCTCGTCCTCTTGCTTTTTTCTATCTTTCGCCCTGCTTCTCACTTTTTTTTCTCTCTCTATTCCTTTCTTTCTCTTTCAATCTTGATCTCTGTTTCTTTTTCTATCTCTTTTTTGTATCTGTTTCTTCCCTTTCTTTGTCTCTATGTCTCTACTTTCTGTCTCCCCATTTCTCACTCTATATATATATATATATATATATATATATATATATATATATATATATATATATATATATATATATATACACATATACACTCATCCTCTCGGCCATCCGAGTTATTGCATCCCACACCGGACAAATCGGCGCAGCGGGAGAGCACACACCGAGCACGCGTACCAGGAAAGCGAAGCAACAGATGAAGCAGAGAGCGTGCTGAACATGATGGTGATAGTTTTTGCGAATTCTACAAGGGCATTTACAGAGAATTAACAGCTCTACTGTTAAAACTGAAGGCTCACGCTTAAGCACTCTGAATGTAGGGTGTTACTCTCAATTTATACTAGTGGGCAGTTCATTTTGCTTGATCCTCCTCACTGCGCTATCAGCACAACCTAACAAATGAGTTGGGCCCGACATTGTTAAGCTCTCATCATCGCAGTGTTTCGCACTTTCCCTATAAACAAGTGGGTAAGTATTCTCCTACCTTAGGTACATGACGCTTCGAGCCAAAGACATTGTAGGAAGGAAGTCTTAAGTTACATACTTAGCAGCCCAAGTATTGCAGCCAGAACAAGAGGCTATGTAGGCCCTACCAACGCAAGACCAAATGCAAGGCCAGCACCATGCGATATTGTACAGGCAATGGTCTAGTCTAAAAAAATTAGCATCAAGTTCGAACTGGGCCAGCATTGGCTTTTACCTGTAGCTTCATTTGGCTTTGTTCCACGTAGTACTTGCGTAGTTTTTTCTTTCATTTTCGGACAGCTTTGTAATGCACTGAGCAGGACTGATTGGGACTGTATGATTAGGACTGTATAAGAGTGCTCGAGAACACACGCTATACCGGCGCAATTATGGCAATACGCTGAGCAACGGCTGCTCTCAGAGGAACAGGAGAAAGGTTACACATAGCTACAGCACTGCATGCAAACACATTACTCTTACAGAAGCCAAATTTAAAAAAAAAAAACGAGAAGGTTGCGGGAACAAGAGAGAAGGTCGCAGTTTACACGTTAGGGTACAACTCCAAAAGCCATGCAGTTGTTCAAGCAGAGGTTCTGCGTGCAAGAGCTAATGACACGGCATTCTCGTCAATCATTCAAAGCATGTCGTCGTGTGCGCGGTGGCTCGGAGCGCAGTTCACTAAAGTTTGCTTTTCTGCTCCCGAGGCGTGTGAAGCGGAATGTCATGCTTTGCTTTCAGAACCTCCACTAACGCATGCTTGACAACAGCCTGGCCTCTAAGTGAACTCTGATGTAGTTTCTAAAGTTGCAGTTTATCACAAGATGTTAGGACGAAAACTTTCCAAACTCTACTTAAATGCGAAGGCCGTCGATTTGGCACTGAATAGCGGAAAAAGGAAAGGCTTATTTATGGAACTTTCACTCCAACTCTGACTCCATGGCCACCGTTAAGCACAAAAGTAAACACGCAGGAATGAAAAAAAAAAAAAGAAAGAAAACAGAAAGGGCACCCTTCTCAAGATAAGCTAGCTTTACAAACCTGCACATACTTAAGTAACACCAGAGTGTGTTTTGTGAATGAATGTAGTTCAAGGACATTAGGCACTTTGCCTGCATTCCCTCTCATAGCCATGTGCTTGCATAATTCTATGCTGAAAGCGTGCTATGGATTTGCAGACCCATCTAAACAAAATCTGTAAATTTTAGCAAAGTTCAAATGATTGCTGCTGCAGTGTTGTAAACTGTCACGACCATGTAAATGCGAAGACTAGCTTTTTTTATGACTGCGCATACCTTCCAAATGTCTCAAAACCACATCAGAGTCCACTTTAAGGAGGAGTTTCCAGTGGGGCTAATGGCTTAATCCATAACAATGAACACATGGAAAAAAGAAACCTATACCAGCAGAACTCAAAACAAGAGTCAAGCAGCATTTCTTGTTCCACTGGAAATTCCTCTCAACTACATAAGCTGTCTTACAAACAAATATCACGCACAATGAGAAAGCACACCTATATAGCACAGCCTGAGCAACAGAGCACTTTCACCCAGAAAGCTCAGAGCACATGTCGCAACAAAATTCGTGAAAAAGAGCCGGTGTAGTCACACAGCAGTCGCCTTTCACACACCTTATCAAACCAGCTTTCTTCCACAGTGCAAATCAAATACCGTAATCCTGCTTATGTCCATGAGATGTCCTCAATATGACATGATAAGAGGTTGTTTCCGTAGGAGGAAATGAAATTTCACAACTATGTCCAAGAAAGGCAATAATAATAATAATAATAATAATAATAATAATAATAATAATAATAATAATAATAATAATAATAATAATAATACCTGAGGTTCAACATCCCAAAACCACTATATCTATATGATTATAAGAGACTGCATTGAAGGGCTCCGGAAATTTTGACCACCTGGGGTTCCTTGACATGCACCTAAATTAAGTACACGGGCCTCAAACATTTTTGCCACAAGTGAAAACGCAGCCACCGCCGCCACCAGGATTCGATACCCTGACCTTCAGGCCAGTGGCCGTTTGTCATATCCACTAGACCACCGCGGCAGGCCCCAAGAAAGGAAGATTACTAGTGTTCAATTAGAGAAGAAGATGATGATGATTGATTGATATGTGGGGTTTAACGTCCCAAAACCGTGATATGATTATGAGAGACACCGTAGTGGATGGCTCCAGAAATTTTCACCACCTGGGGTTCTTTAACGTGCACCCAATCTAATCAGAGAAGAAGAGCTTAGCATTTTTTTTCTTGTTCAAAAAGGACAACAAATGCTTTGGACATAGCCCTGCACATTTTATTTTTATTTTGGTGCATTGGTAATCTAGTTTTACAAATAGAAAAGTTTACAAAATAGGCCCAGACCTGTGAAGATCGTGTAAAAGCTACCACTGTAATACAAAAAGCCCAGCTCAAGGCAGCATACCACTGCACGGAAATGGGATGGAAGCTATGCAATAAGCTAGAATTTTATGCCACATAGCAGTGCAGCTAGACACAGCTTTTTTCCATGTAGTGCGAGGCAAAATGGTATTATCTTATGTATACTCTACAACCTATGTGGACATTAACTGCCTGGGGACAGCCTCACCATGTAGGAAAGCCAGCTTGCAGGTTGTGAAAGACTCGCAACGTACAGCAGCATAGGCATGCAGAAAAAAGTTCACCACATAGCAGTTACATCCAGGTGTCTCAGCAAGGACTTCAGGCAATTTTCAAAAATGTCAGAGTAAGAATAGCCAGTTTGTTTTTGCTTTTATCTCGTTCCAACACACTGTTCAAGCTGGTGAATAATAAACACCCTATAGTAATAACTTGATCACTCTTTAAACAACTATTAATTCTTGATCAACTTTTAAAGAAATTAGTTAAAAAACAGAGCTGTTACATTGTAGCCATTAGGTACTCTGAGCATGTTCACTGAAGAAGAAATTTGAAACCAGCACCAGTTTTGAGAAATCCATAATAATAAACTTGCGTAGGAAAGCGCTGTCATTCGGTTTCTCATTTTGCCAGGTATCGCTCCTTTCATATTGTGGAACAAAACTACATAAAACACAACCATAATTTACAGCAAATTTTGGGAGATCGCATTTTGAAAGTGGTAGTATACATAGGATTCCTACTAAGCAGATGTGCCTCAAAAATCTAACATTACTATCAATTTTGTAGTCATATGTACATTATTTTAACTTGTTTTTTAGGTAATTACTCGGCTGATCAAGACAGCTAAAAGAAAAACATTCATACATTAAAAAATGCACATTTTAGGCCCCTAAAATAAGCACTTAAATTTTCCCAAGCTTTTCAGAAATTTGCAATCAAATGTGTTTCTAAAAAAGGGGGAACCTCGGAAAGACATTTTGATGCGTTTTTTGTTAAAAAATTTTCACCCCAGCAAAAATAGATATACACTTAAACCTCGTTATAAAGAAGTTTAAGGGGAGCCACAAGAATTTTGTTATAACCATCATTTCGTTGTATTGATTTTAACAGCTTGTGGCAATGTAAGCTCAGATGAGCGCACACATCTTCAAGCAAGCAAAGAAGGAAACCGCCTCGCGGCCCCGTGTACCGCTACGCGACCACACGTGCAACGGAAAATAAACACAGTCGAATCTCAATAATTCGAACATGCTTAATTTAAACTTCTAGTTAATTCGAACTCGCGCTGTGGTTCCGTCAAAGCTATGTGTATTCCAAACGGCGAAAACGCGCTGTAATTCGAACGCGCAAGCACTTGTGATGGTTCATTCGAACATACCACGCTTCTGAAATGCTCTCAGCACCCTGCCCAATCCCACGGCGGCACCTTGAAAGAGCCGCACCGAATGCCCTATCCCACGGCGGAGTTTTGAAAGAGCCGCGCCGAACGAGCGTCAAACTCCACAGAAAACGATATGATTAACACAACAGTCATTTTTTTTAATAGACTACTTGATAGACTAATTTAGTTCGTTATATCCATTTACAGGTCAATTTTACTTCATTATAGTGAGATTTAAAATGCATGGTTCGCAATGGAGCTTTCAAGAGGAATTTCATTTACTTCATTATATTCATTATTTCGTTATATCCCATTACATTATAACAAGGTTTGAGTATACAGGTGCAAATGGCACAAGCGGGTACACACAAGCACAACCATATCCTTGTTAGAGTGAATGCACTTCTCTGACCACAGAGTTCTTCTTCATTAGAAAGGTTGGGTCCTGTTTGTCGGAAATGAATGAGCACTTCCTCGCAACCTCATCTAAGTTTAGCAAATCGTACCATGCAATAACTAAAATCACTTGAAGACTAAATGTTTTATTTCAGTTCAGCCCTCAAAGATGTGCAAGAAAAAAAGCAGTGTTTGTATAGGTGCTTCAGATGGAAAAATGTCTTTTTATACACTAAAGCCAGAATAAGCATTCTTGTAGAAAGAGTACAAACCATACTGTTTACTCTTACTCTTTATTAGTGCTTCAGTAATGAAAAGGAAATACCGTATTTACTCGCATAATCGGCGCACTCGCATAATAGGCGCACCCCTAGTTTGGTGGCGGAAAATTCGATTTTTTTTAATTCCACGCATAATAGGCGCATCCCGAACTTGGCCGTGATCAAAAACGATTCTAACCCCCAGCGGTACAGTTGGAACGCGGTCCCCGTACCCTGAAGAAAAAAAGAAGGCAAATCGACGAGCAAATAAAAAAAATCCGAAGTGCAACGACCTAACCAACGTGTTTGTCGAAATAAAACATGAAAAAAAAAAGCGTCCATGAGCGAAAAAAAAAACGGCTGTTCCATCAATTACTGATACCCCCCAAATCGCCGCGCTTTTTGGAGGTCACGTGTACAACGCCGGGGGCTCGATCGCCATCACCACCATCAGAGAAAAAGAAAGAAACGCCATTTTGCAAGCGGTGTGCGTATGTTGTGGTCGTGTATTGAACTTTGGTTCCACCATGGGAAAGTATGCGAGCTACACGGCTGGGTTTAAACTGAAGGCAGTGCAGTACGCGCTGGAGCACGGCAACCGGGCTGCAAGCAGGCATTTCGGCGTTGGAGAAACCAGTATTCGGTACTGGAGGGACCAAGAAGAAAAACTTAAGGCGACGAAGAAGACACAACGGGCTTTCCGCGGTGCCAAGACCGGCAGGTATCTGAACGTCAAAGAGCAACTGGTCCGGTATATACGGGAGCTACGACAAGGCGGCTGTGCTGTGTCGTTGGATATTGTGCAGACTGAGGCGCGCAGAATAGCCCGAGCGCAGGGCATCGAAGCAAAAGAGTTCAAAACCAGCTCCGGATGGACAACTCGTTTCATGCGGCGCCATGGCCTCGCACTGCGAAGGCGGACCACCTTGTGCCAGCGCTTGCCCGCAGCATATGAGGACAAAATGGTGGACTTCCACAGTTTTGTTTTGTTTCCCTATTCGGAGTTTGACTCCGAATAGGGAAAAGGAGGAACAGCAGCTACGACTTTTGTGTAAATAAATTTTACGTGTGTGTGTGCAGTTGACGGCTCTCGCTTGTTCATTAAAAGGTACGTAGGTATGTTTGTTTTATGCTGAATTAATTGGTAAACGATAAAGTCGCCTTTTACTTGACAAGTGTGCAGATTTCAAGCGCGAGAACCGAGTTGAAAAAATTTTCGAAAATTTTACCCCGCGTAATTGGCACACCCCTAACTTCGAGCCGGATTTTCTGAAAAAAAAAAAAAGTGCGCCTATTATGCGAGTAAATACGGTATGTATAATCCGCTGATATTGAACCAAGGAATAAATTAGGTATTTGCCTAAAATCGGCGCTTTAGCGAACGCTACATATATCTTTATGTACATGAGCGCTATAAGTTCGACCAGCTTGAAAATTTCATTTTTAATCCTTGCAGACAGTCACTGCTGAAACACCTTGAATGTACAGGTTGGTCTTTTATAGCTTGAGCCAAGTTACAGGACAAATCCATCAATTTTGCAAGAGTCAAATTAAAGCAGTATTGTTATTGGTTGCCACATGCATATTATATTAACCTTTGTTAATTCTAATGCTAATAAGCCTCCTGTCAGAAATCCAGTGCTAATTAACTTCTAAAGTGTGTTTCAATTTAGAACTTTTATGACACAGATAATATAACAGATACTAAACTTTTATAGCTCGCTTGATATCCTGACTACGGTTCACTCGGTGAAGGAAATAGACAGTGTCTTGATTAGTGAACAGTACTCGACGTGGCATCACTTCAACATATGCATAATATTATGCTCATCTCTTTATATATGTTTATCATGGCTCAACCTATGCAGGAAGACCAAACAATTACACACCAGTATTTTTATGCTGAGTTCATCGCATACAGCAACAACAAACTCAACATCTTAAATGCAGTCGCAGTGCTTGAACAGCCAATCATGACTTCAAAAATATGAATATGGCACAGCATAAAATGAAATGATTCAATAAAAAGGTCAGTTTTGAAACTGGCACTACAATAACTTGTGTTATCAAAAATTAACCACATTTTGATGTGATAACAAGGAATGCAAAATATTTTTTCTTACCCAGAATCTGTTATCTACACATGATATTCAGCCACTAATCTTAGTATAATGTATCTGCAACACTCACGGAAGACCCCTTTGTAGTATTGCATTTTGGGACCTTCATATGCATACGATTTATATGCTGTAATGTAATTTGCACATGCAAGATTGATTAATTGATGGTTGGAAGAGAAGAATTTACAACTAAGTGTGCAGATACTTCAACAAAGTTGAAGATTGATTAATTGATTGATTGATTGATTGATTGATTGATCCCTTTGACTTAAAGTTTGCACCTACAACATGAAGCAAGCAAGGGAATGCGAGTGCCTAACATAACTGAGACGTATCTACTGCGACTCGAGAGGCTTAACATTTCGAGTGAAAAAAAGCAATGCACCAAAGACCTGACCTGGTCAGCGTTAGGCGAACGACATTGCTCTTGTTCACCAGAGTTGTTGTCACAAGAAGGCAGTATTGCGTTCCGTTTGGGTGATCGGGCAATTCTTTGGTAGGGGTCAGACGAACCTGTAGACAGCACACACACATCCCTCAGGAGGTGGTCACACTGACTGCACGGCTCTCAGGAGTCAGCAACTATCAACAGTCACCAAAAGTTTCAGAGTGAAACGACCTCAGATTAGTGTAGAGCGATAAACTGTTGAGAACTCTGTTGATGTCCACTTAGAGATAGTAGGTATATTAGAGAATATGAAGGCCAAATTCGACTCCCAGATTTTGTGGAGAGTTGCAACTCTTCAATGTCAGAAGAACATCACAAATTTCAAAGCCATTTGTTTGTTTTTTCTCGTCTTGGAAATATTGGCTCTATAAACATTCCTGCTACTAGTAATGCTTTGTTCTAAAATCACTTGAAACAGAATGTAATTCGTTTTAGCAATAAAAATGTGACGTAGGCTGTAGGAGATGTAGGTGGTTAAACGCTATGACTTTACGAAGAACCGATGTGGAAACTGCAAGGTAGCGTCACCGCCTGTACTTTCTTTTCATGCATTTTCCAGCTTGACGAGAGTTTTCTCATGGCTGAAGCAGCACTTTTGATATAGCGGAAGGGTAATTTATTATAAAAACGAAGTACTTTTTTGTATATTACCAAGTTACTCTCTAAGAAAGTAGCTTTTTCTTTAGGTGAGAAATTATGTGGCATCACAGCAAAAATTGAAGCTTCCCAGGATTGCAAATTACACAGTAACATTTTCCAAATCAACTGTTTTAATTAGGCAAGCAGTTAGGGCATTTCAAGCGATAGTGAAAGTACAGCTATGTGTCAGACCAAATGGCTTTTCTTTTTTGGCAAATAGATGAGAAAAACAGGTATTTCAGGAAAGAAAAAATAAATGGGACTTCATTTACCTTGCTTTCACCTTTTTATATGAATTTTTAGATTTTGAGCGCTTAAAGCTTGGGGACATAAATTGCCGAGCACATAAAAAGAGCGTGGATATCTTACAGTGCACTCGCAGAGCGTTTTAAATGTAGCATGTGGTACTTTCTTAGGGTAGCAAATATGAGGAAAAATAACAGAGGTGATATTTGCACCATATCAAGCAAGTATGGTATAAATCACTTAACTCATCAAACATTACATGGCATCTCTCGGTACAGCAGAAACCAAGCGAGGGCAACAAGTGCTGCAGTAAAGTGCTCACCATACAAATCAGGGGTACCAAGGTTTAACACACAGGTCTTCGTACAAAGATCCACAACAACCAGGCCACACTCATTGCCATAGGCTAGACTGCAAAGAAAGAACCAGCACATAAATAACCGAGCACAGGGTGTGAATAGACAAAAGCACTATCTTCAACATCAACTTTTTTTTTATAGCATACATTTATAGCAACTGCACACCTACAAGGGTAGAACAGGGTACATGGATTTTGGAGCAGTCCCGGGAGCAGGTAAAAGTACATTTTGTAGCAGGCTTGGAGAAGCCAGAAAGAGATTTTTGGCGCAGGCTTGTAGCAACCAGAACATTCAGAGCAGCTGTAGCCCCGTTACACAGTACTTGTCAACAAACATTCATCGAATGCTGCATTTTCCAAACATTCAACTAAAATGCGTAATGATATCATTGCGATAGCCATTATATGAACACACTCAACGAGTATTTCCCACTGCTGTCACGTCCCGTATATATTGTGAATCCAAAGCATACCTTTCCACATAGTTTGTCCTATCCGCGGCTTAAAGCACACGAGTGGGGGTGACAAACGCAGCCGAAGCAGGGATCAAATGATTTGAACCATCTCTGTCGTTCAGTGTCTTTAGAAAGGCTCGTTAAAAATAGCATATTAACTTAATCGCTAGCCTGCATGCATAGGAATACATAGAGTTGAGGTGAGACAGTGTTGCAAAATATTTAGTAAATAACTGAAGCAAGGATTGGCACCGTGGGGCATAAAAGGCAGCTTTTCCTTGTAAATAAAAAAGAAAAACAGTCGGAATATATGGCTCAGCTACGCTTCCACAGATTCAGGTGAAAAACCAGCGGATCTACGAGCAGCCGTACGTACAGATTGTATGTAGAGTTGATGCTGAGAGAAGTGATGTGTCCAGGCGTCTCCCCCCGCACCCATGGGAGCATGCACACCAAGGAAGGCTGAAAGCCTGTGCCCCATTTCTGCGGGCCCGACTTGACATTCAACGAGGTGTAGTGCTCCGAAGAAGCCTGCACGTGGGGTAGGCAAAGAGGAACCGTCAAATCAGCTCCGTAGTGAATTCGCAAGAATGTCCACTTTCCGTACGAGTGTTACATTATGTCCTCAATTGCGCAGCATCTCAATTTCATATGCTCAACAATTTCAGCTGGACATAAAGATGTAATTTTAAAGCAAACTGATGATTCAACTTATAGTACAATTCCCAACGGCAAATCAATTCTGCATAATCCCGCATGATGCAGTACAACTTTCTAATGATGCAAAATACACTTCTGTATTACACCCATAGATTCCGTGTTCCTATTACCATATAATCTTGTATTACTTGAAGAAATCTACACCAACCTGAAACAATTCTGTATCGCAACAAAAGCTTGGAAGAGCACTAATGGTATGTTTATTTTCAAAACACAAGTTTATGTTCTATTAATTTGCAATAACATGTGATACACACTTCTGAGTAATGCATGTACAAGCCAAGTATTCACCAGCAATGTTATGCTTTCGTTACAATAAATCAGGAAGCAGTCAATTTGAAACACAGATACGGCAAACCTTTCAAACAACGAAACTCCTTGATGCCATGTCACAATGTACCATGCATCATATAAATTTATTGCCACTGACAGGAAACAATACCTGAGCACTAGATGCTAAGCTGCATGCTTGGCAAACTGGTTCTCATTCATAATTTGCAAATGATGCTGTAACTAGTGCAGGAACAGCTACACTAAAACAAGACAGCACCCCATTTTTATGTTTCTTTTCTTCAGTCCCTGTGTTGTCTGTAGTACTGCTTTACAATGACAAATACAAGGTACACTCAAACTTCAATATAGCGAACCTGGATACTACTATAACGAATTAACGGTTATAACAAAGTGAGTGAAGAATGGCTTTGTAATAGATACAGCGCCTCAAATGTATGTTTATAACGAATTTTCGGATAAAACGAAGCATCTTCGTGGCAGGTGTTCATGTGCTGAGACCAAGATATGTGCTGGATTGACAAGGCTTCACGTGCTGAGATTAAGATATGATTATGAGGTGAGCCATAGTGGAGAACACTGGATTAATTTTCATCACCTCAGGTTTGCTGACACGCACCTACATCCAGATGCACAAGTGTCATAAAAATGTGGCAGGTTTGTAAAGTGTGGCCAGTTGAAGCCCACCCTTTTACCGTTATCCCATTCCCTCTCCTCTAGCTCCCTCAATTTTCATATTTACACTAACCCACGAACATAAAAAAAAACTTACCTTTCTACAACCCTCTTCCAAGGCACTGGGGCAGGATCCCTGCTGCGATGATTGACGTTGATACTCGCACTCAGGGGAACAGTCACCGTCATCATCGACCTCATAGAGGATCGGGGTCTCGAGAACCTGAGTAGAAGCGCGACATACAGTGATTCCTGCCGAGACAAAAAACTCGTTGAGCTTGCTTTGCAAGAGATACAGATCACCTCTACTGCAGAATCCAAAGCTGCGGCAAGTAACAGGCTGCACCTACCGTATTTACTCGACTCTAACTCAACCACAATTATAATGTGACGGTTGACTTTTAGTTGTGTCCAGGAATAAAAAAAAAGGTTAAAATTATCCAAATCAGTAACTTACGTTAATCAATGCACATTTTACATGAATTTTGGTAATATCGGTATAGAATTTCAATGCAAGGGTTGACTTAAAGTCGCAAAAAACTGGAAGAAGAACTTGCATTACATTTGAGTAAATACAGTATGATCTTTTCACAGCTTAAGAGGCAAACACTAAGAAACTACTACGCAGCCATCAGGAATGTTTCCCTTCGCTAAATGTAGCCCTAAAATTTGTGCACGCGTTACAATCAGGCTCTAAAACGAATTTGACATATGGTTATGTCAATTTTTTTTTTTAGTTTGCATTACAATCTCACGGGCACACTATGATTGTGCACGTGCAGTAGTAAGGCAACATTCCCACCTAGGTCATAAAGATTGTGAATGTGGGCCATAACTTTACACTTTCCTGTCCGCAGGAAAATAAGCAGTTTTTGGGTGGTCTAGTAAACAATCTTTTTTACTGCTACACCAAATGCTTTATATTATAACGTATAGATTAATTTGTAGCAGAATGATTGTGCTTTCTAATGGTATTATTTTCAAACAACGATTTCTTAACATATTTTTTTAGAAAATTATTTAATGAAAATATTTGTAAGAAAAACGAGAAAACTTCGTAAAACCATAGATGCTGCTTTGCACCAAAGCAACCTAAAAAAATTTCCAAATATACACTTTAAAGACGAATGCTATATACAACATTACTGCAAATACAAACTTTCTGTTTGCACAAGTTAATATACAAAACAAAAATGTTAGCCATAGTAGCTCTAACGAAGCGCCTTGCGGCACTGCGGAGCCCAAAGCCGAGGTCAACACCCGGCCATCTTCTCGCGCAAAACTACACTCTCTGTGCTGCCGCCAACAGGTGATCCCATCCAAACAAGGTTTACACCCTGCAAATAAGAACCGCGACCTTTAGAACACGCTGGATGTCCTCAGATCTGATCGCCGCCGCGATGAAAGGGCTCGGAGTAGAAAACCGAACTAACCAGTGGATACCTGTCAACGTTCTGGGGCTCCTTGATGCACTTTCACCGTCCGTGCTAAAGTCTGATGAATCAGTCATTTCCCAAGTCTTTGCAGCTACCACCATCACAAAATTCTGATGCAGACTCATCAGAATCCGTTGAAATTCGCCGTTTCCGAGGGGCAGTCACGTGCGATGTCAACGCCATGTCGGAAACAATGAAAACTCGTCTAGCGTGAGGTCTATAATATGCGCTTTAAAAATACCCGGCGAAAAAAGAAAACACAAAAACGAAACTAGAGAAAAAGTTCTCCTTTTATGCACTGGATGACGCTAGATGTCCCAGAGCGCTCTGAACGCGAGAAAATGTTTATTGAAACCATCGGCAGCATACTGTTGATTAGGATAGGCGTGGACAGGAAAGTGTTAAGAAACTAGAGGACAGCTACGCAACTTACAGTAACTACACGAAGGTAACATGAAGTAGTTACTGGCGGCCATAAACTTTTTTAACTCTTTTTATCCCAGCATACACTTATGTGGACAGAACATCGTGCAAATTTTGATTGAACTAGCCAACTCCTTGCCTTAAAATCGACTTGAAATGTTGGCCCTACCCTATGCAGGAGTGATGCTACAATATCAAATTGATTTTAGGGGCAGGCATTGCTTAGCCTAATCACCCTTCGCTAACATGTTCGGCCTACACATGCGAACGCTGAGATAAAAAAGGTTCGAACTGGTCGATGGCGGTTACCTGGTGCACCATGGCTCAGAACGTCACGAGCTGTATCCTACTTTAATCTTCACACAAAAGCAAAGTAAAGAGGAGAGTGGCCTCGCGTAATGTGTGATCGACAACTAGAGGGAGCATCTTGATCAATGCATAAAAAGTTGGCGGAATGACAGTTGTTTGCGGTGCAAGCACCCAGGCACACACGCATGCAAAGCAACGAACACTGTAAAAAAAAAAAGAGAGCTGAAGAGCACACTGCACACTCACGTCCACTTCCACCGAGGCCTCCTGTTTCCTGAACACAAACACGATGACGTAGAAGCTGGAGCCAGCCACGGCCAGCAAACGACTGTCGGCACAAAAGGCCACCTTCTCCACGGCAAAGGGGTCGTCGTCCGGCACCTCCTGACTGCCACGGCTCTTGGGCTTCTCGAACACCTTGGAGGTTTTCAGCCGGTACAACACCTGAAGCGTCACTGCATGGCACAAAAACAGTGGTTGTACATGGCCACACCAGTAAACTGCACATTCTGCGTACAGAAGGTTCAAACATGGAGGCATGTATAAGAAAATACTAAGGATGTGAAAATAATTGAGCACTTTCAATATACAAACAAATATTACAGTATATAAATTTGCTTAAATGGAAATTTAAATCATTCAAAATTTCAAAGTATTTAAAATAAACAAATAAAACATCTCATGTAACCTCTTGTAAAGGTTGTTTCACTGCATTAAAAGGCCACTATATTGTGAATACACCTGCCCAGGGGAAATCTGCCCTGTCGCAAAGCCTCTACTTCAAGGTTAAATCAACACATTACCATTATTAAATACATAATTTTTTAAGTCTAAAACCTTGTTATACGTACTAACTTTTAGGCTCTAAGTATAGTACATTTTAAAACAATATACTTTGCAGGTTACTACTTGCATTCTACCAAAAGCCAAATCCTGCTGCTATTTAAAGTTGCTTGCACTTCCTTTGAATAAAAAAATAATGACATTTGTACAACTTCTGTTCTAATTAAAAATATACATATTGTGCTGGTTAGCTGGGTCACAATAAATAGGCTCATTTTTCTTTATAATGAGATATATATGCTATTTGACCAAATATAGATTCACTTTAAGTTTGCTTCAAACATATAGTTTACTGTTTCCGCATGCCTAAAAATACATGCACTAAAATGCACAGTGAAGTGTTAAGTAATGCCACTGTGGAACTCATTACTTTGTATATCAATGAAGCAGATGACATTTTAAAATCAACAAAAACTCAGGAGTGCCATAGTGAGCTAGTAAAATGAAGGAGGTCAAAAACCATAACCTACTGGGAGCACAAACACAGTGCTCGTATCTCACAAACCAATACAACCCTAGAGCAGTCTCTAGATGGCTTGCACTTGAAGCAAAGTTAACGAAGTATTAACTGAGTGAACAGTTCCCACCTGAAGATGCATCCCACACCTTTAGGGAGCCATCAGCATGCCTGTGAGAAAGAAAAGTTGCAAAAATTAATGCAACATCCTCTAAAAGAAAGAAAAAAAGAATAAAAATAAATTCTTATTGCTCTACTCTGAACCTAAATGACCGGGCACTCCTGAGCTAGCCTGCTCTTCACGAGCAAACAAGAGCGATCAGCTACATTTGCTTTCGTAAACTTACACAGCTTTTATTTGAAGCAATGTTCATTATACAAAACTTGCATTGACATCACAGTGATCACCATCTTTAGGTACCAGCTAGTTGACAAGCTGCAGTAACTCTTGCTCGACTGCGCCGAGCAAGAAACGGTGACATCTGATCAGTGCCGGTGCATCTTCCAATTCTTTGCGTTTCCCTCGGCGCGACTGACAAACAGAATGAAGTGGAGAAAGCACAAAAAAAAACGTTATGATTGAACGACTCTCTGCTGTCCCTTGCACTGGCACTCTCAAATACATTAAAAGTCATGGCCGCAGCTACATTTAGGTACCCAGTGCCTAAAACCTGTCTGTGACGTCACGTGCAAGTTATGTATACCTAGTACCCACAAAGCATATGTTCCGAGTGAAAAGTCAAGCCTACCCAGTGATGATCACTTCAGGATAGCTGACTGTTGATGTTCCCCACTCACCCCCGCTGATTGGCCATTCCTGTAAAAAAAAAAGCAAACAAAAGCACAGGTAGTTCAAAAACCAGAAGGCTCAAAAGCACAGGCATATAATGCCAAATGACCCAAATGACCTTGCTTAGATTACAGAGGACTCAAGTAAGACACCTCTTTCAGTCCCAACATAGTTACAACAAAGGGGTATATAATAGAGCAAACTTGGAAAAGAAAGACATGAGAAAATAAGTAGGAGGGAGCAGAAAGGTCAGCCACTAAATTACAGGTGTTTATTTGAAAGAACAAGCCACCAGATTACAACTATCTGCGCATGCGTGCATCGTTATCGGCTAACAGTGGTCACACTCGCATATCAGAGAGCTTCAACTTACTTTGGAAAAGTGAGACAGGCTAATATAACTGATGCAAAATATGCCTCTCTTCTTAATGTGAAACGTCTCCAATAACTATCACGCTAATGTGTTGTTGCTCCTGCCTAATCTTAATCTTAATCTCACGAAGCCGACACTCACGTCTGCAGGCTAGACAATGCACAGGTAAGAGTGAACTTCTTTTATTCTGGAAGGATAATTCATGCTCCCGGGCTCAGTCGTTGAGACGGCGCCCAGTTCTGCCCACGTACGTCTTCCTACACGGTAGCAGTATTTCGCGTGCAACACCCATCGCGCACTTCCTATAAGGTCTGGTGTGCTTCTTCTGTCATTTCAGCTTTTCATCGATGCGGCTGATCTGCAGACATATTCCAGCCGACTTGCATAGTGCTGAGAAGACTATGTGCACACCGCGTCCTTCCTCGAAGCTTTCTTTTCCAAGTTCGCGCTATTATGTACCCCTTTGATGTTAACTAACTTGCCCGACAACAAGTCTTACTCAATGGTTACAACAGTCAAGTTCTTATACATAATCAAGCGCAACTATTGTACTAAAATCAGAAATGTTGCTTCAGTCTGACTTTGCTTGTGAGCATAACCGGGTAGTAAACAAATTATGTCCAGTACACTACTGAAGCACGCTACTTTTCAAAGTGATCTTAAGTTTGAAAAATGCTTTTCAATGCAAATGTTTTCAGAGTTGGCACAGTACTCTCAAATAAGTAGCAGTACAAATCATTTGTATAATACACAATGCATGAGATAACTTTTAATATATCAGATGATAAAGCAGTGTGACATGTAAAAGCAACTGGCATGTTCTGCAAACTATAGGGATAGCACTGGTGCATTTTACAAGCACTTTTAAAACAACTCAATATTGTTATTCATTTCTTACTGAATAAATTTACCATAACAAACAACTTTTATGAGGCCCAGATGTCTTCCATATTTACTTGATCAATTCGGTTTTAGGACACAACCCAATGTAAAAAAAGTTCATGATAAAAAAAAATAGCATCTTCCCTGTCTGCTCTTTGTCCTGAACTCTTTTCAACTCAAGTGGCATATTAACCATTTTAATTAGGCATGAGCCCACTACCCCACAACATGATTTTTATAAGGGGTAGTTCACATTACTAGTATAATACGCAACATCATACCCAACACCCATCAAGATCACAGCAAAGATGCTTAACAACACTAGAGGAATAGACATGCAAAGATCGTATAGCCAGAGTGATAATATGCGCACCTTTTCCGAGAACCCTCCCCTCTTGTTGGCCTTGCTGCCCACTGAGTAAAAAGCAGGGACGAGGTCTGTCGGACAGTCGGCCAAGTACGTACAAAAGGTGACAGGAGATTCATGCAGGTCCATCGAGTAAGGGTTCTGGAAACACGGGTAGCTGCGACCAGGAACACAAAATGTCATTGCGAATGCACTTACTTATGACTGAAGGTGTTATCACACACTAGACATAATCACTATGTAACATAATAGCCACCGCAACACGTGCTGATATGTGATGTGTGATATGTGATATGCATCGTGTTACGTCAGCACCAGGTTGCTATAAAAGATGAGTGCGTAGGAAATAAAGGCTAGTGTTTTTGTCCACGGTATCAAGTGTGCTGTTCTTCCGTCAGCTGCTCTCCGCAAGTTGGCTATGACAGTGGCGACGAGGATGGGATGTGTGATCTGCTGGTGCCGCCTGGAACTTCCCTGTAAGGCTGTGTTCTCTACCGTGTGTAGAATGCCTGGTGTCGGCAAGCTTGAGCCGTTCGACGTGGGAACAACCAGCTGGGATGAGTATCAAGAGCGAGTAGAACAATTTTTCATAGCCAACGACGTCGAAGATGAAAAAAAGCGAGCAGTACTTCTCACCTGTTTGGGACCGGCCACGTATTCATTACTGCGGAACCTGCTGTCACCGTCGAAGCCGTCAGAAACAAGCCTGTCCATGATCCTTGACGTAATGAAGAAGCATTTTTCGCCGAGACCATCGGAAGTGGTTGCAACGTTCAAGTTTAATTCAAGAATACGTCATTCTGGTGAAACGGCTGGGGATTTCTTCGCTAGCCTGAACAAACTTGCTGACGATTGTGCTTTCGGCTCGTTTCGAGATAGAATGCTTCGTGACCGCATCGTGGCAGGCATCAACGACGAGACAATGCAGCGACGACTGTTGGAGTCACCAGATTTGACCCTGGATACCGCAAAGAAGACAGTTATCGCGATGGAAGCGGCGAACAAAGATTCTCGCGCGCTGTCAACAGCCATGCCAATGACTGTTGCGCCGACGAATGCCATGTCACGTGATACAGGAAAGCAGAAGCATAAACCAGTTTCATGTTTCCGCTGCGGAGGCGAGCATCTGGCGACGCAGTGTCGACATGCAAGTAGCGTCTGTCACAAGTGTCGAAGCAAGGGGCACCTGGCGCGAGTATGCAAGGGTAAGGCAGTTACAGTTACGAGCGCAGGTGGTTCAGCGTTTTTGTCCCGGAAGCATCAGTCAATCCATACCGTAGACGACGAAGGAAGCCGTTCTGAGACACCGGCACCGCAAGTCTACGAAATGTGGCAAGTGCGCGCACCGGATCACGACGGTAGCCCGTACCGGGTTGAGGTGTTCGTGAATGGAACTTCACTCATTATGGAAATTGACACGGGAGCAAGTGTGTCTGTCGTGTCGGAAGAGACCTTTCGCTGCATATTTCCGTCTTGTCGTCTGGAACCGTCAAGCGTCATGCTGAAAGGTTACACCGGTGAGCTGTCCGCGGTGCAAGGCAGCCTGCCTACGACTGTACGACTGGGAAACCATGAGTGCCGGGACGTGTTGTACGTCGTCCCAGGACGCTGCCCGTCCCTTATGGGGCGTGGCTGGATAAAAGGCCTCGGAATCGAGCTGCGCAGTGTGATGGATGTTAAGGCTATCCCGTCGGTTGAGGGACTCGTCGCTGAGTATGCGAGTGTTTTCGACGACGCCTTGAGAACATTCAAGGGAGTGTCCGCGAAAATAACCATAGAAGACAACGCGAAGCCGCGGTTCTTCAAGGCTCGCCCTGTTCCGTTCGCAATGATCGACCGCGTCAACGAGGAACTGATGCGCATGGAACGAGTTGGAGTGCTGCGTCCAGTTAAGATTTCGGAATGGGCTGCGCCTATCGTGCCTATCTTGAAGCGGAGTGGCCAGATTCGGATATGTGGCGACTTCAAGGTCACTGTTAATCCCGTGACAGTGCCTGAAAAATACCCGATACCACGCGTTGAAGACCTGTTTTGCCGTCTTAGCGGTGGCGAGAAGTTCAGCAAATTGGACTTGAAGGATGCATATTAGCAAGTTGAACTGGACGAGGCATCCCGCAAGCTGGTGACAATCAACACACCAAAAGGACTGTACCAATACACGCGTTTGCCTTTTGGCGTCACATCTGCTCCTTCAATTTTCCAGCGGGAGATGGAAAACCTGCTACAAGGGCTCAGACACGTTGTGGTGTACTTCGACGATGTTCTTGTGACAGGACGCGACGACCAGGACCATCTAACAAATCTGGGCCTAGTCCTAAGCCGACTGAAGCAAGCTGGGATAAAATTGAAGCTTGACAAGTGTACCTTCCTGGAACGACAACTTGAATACCTGGGTCACGTTGTCACGGCTGCGGGGTTTCAACCCAACCCTGAAAAGGTAGAGGCTGTGCTGAAGGCACCTAGACCCGAAGATGTCAAGACATTACGGAGTTATCTAGGTCTAGTCAACTTCTACCGCAAGTTTCTGCCGGGGCGGCATCCCTTGAACGAGCTGCTTGTGGCCAAGGTGTCGTGGGAGTGGCGTGAGGATCATGAACGTGCTTTCCAAAGGAGCTACTTGTTTCAGCAGCAGTGCTGGCGCATTATGACCCCAAGAAACCCGTGGTTCTCGTATGCGATGCGTCACCGTACGGCGTTGGCGCCGTTCTGGCCCATAGAGAAGACTCGGGGGCTGAACGATCAATCGCATTTGCATCACGAAGTCTCGCGCCAGCCGAGCGAAATTACAGTCACATCGACAAGGAGGCTCTTGCGCTCATGTTTGGCGTAACCAAGTTCCGACAATACCTCTGGGGACGCGAGTTCGAGGCTATTACGGACCATAAACCATTACTGGGCTTGCTTTTTCCCGACAAGCGCGTGCCTGAGATGTGTTCACCGCGTATCATGCGTTGGGCTCTGATGCTTGGTGCGTATAACTACAAGCTCATGTACCGGCCGGGAGCAAGCATTGCTAACGGGGATGGTTTGAGTCGCCTACCACTACCAGGGTACGCTCAACCTGTGGAAAGGCCAGCGGAAGTTTTCATGCTGGAGGCTGCTTATCCTCGAGTGCTACGGTCGACTGTAGTCGCGGAAGCTACTTCCAAGGACCCAACCTTAGCGAAGCTACGAGAGGCCTTATGGTCTGGAGCTGAGCTACGTGACCCCGAGTTCAGGTTCTACGCAGATCGAAAACTTCAGATGAGCGTGCAAGAAGACTGTATACTTCTCGGATCGCGAGTGGTCATCCCAAGTGCATTACAGCAAAAAGTGTTGCGACTCCTTCATGAGGGGCACCCTGGAATGACCAAGATGAAGGCTATCGCCAGGAGTCACGTCTGGTGGTCTTCGTTGGACGAGGACATTACCGCTGCAGTTCGCCAGTGTCAGATCTGCCAAGAACACCAGAGGGTTGCGCGGCCGGTAGCGATGACGCCATGGCCGTTTCCGGACAGACCATGGTCTCGCCTTCATATTGACTTTGCTGGACCTTTGAAGAACCGCTACTTGCTGATCGTTATCGATGCATTTTCAAAGTGGATAGAGGCCGTTCCTATATCTACACCATCGGCAGAGGCAACTATCCCATGCCTGAGGGTTATGTTTGCTACTCACGGATTGCCAGACGTAGTGGTGTCCGACAACGGACCAGCGTTCGTGAGCAAGGAATTCAAACTGTTCCTGCATCGAAATGGCATCAAACAAGTATTGACACCCCCATACCATCCAGCGTCAAATGGGGCTGCAGAACGGGCAGTTCAGTGCATCAAGTCAAAGCTAAAGAAATTGGCTGGAGGGAATTTTTCATGCCAACTTGCCCGTATTCTTTTCAATTACAGGATTACTCCCCACGAAACTACCGGGTGCTCACCAGCGGAGCTGATCATGGGCCGTAAGTTAAAAACTGCTCTAACGTTGTTGCATCCAGACATGAAAGCTAAGGTCTTGCTGAAGCAGCTCAAGCAGAAGATTGTCCATGATGGTGGAGCTCGAACCACACCACCCGCAAGACTCGGAGACTACATCTACACACGGAATTTCCATTCGGGGCCAACCTGGATGCCCGCAAGAGTGACTGACAGAGCCACCGATAACATCGCTGATGTCGTTTTGTCAGACGGTAGGTGTTGGCGGCGCCATCAAGAACACCTGCGACCGAACTTCGCCCCAGTTAGTGCGCCTCCTGGACTGCCGCCTGAGCGACAGACTTCTTCACCGACGCCAGTGTTACCGCCTGTGCAACAAGCTACGTCAGCCACGGAGTGCGTGTCGGAACGAGCGGGTGTGCAACCGGCTGAGAAACTAGTTCCGCTACCCAGGAAGTGTGAGTCCGAGCTATCGAGTCCAGTTGCTGAGCCGTGTCCTGAATCATGCAGCGAAAGTGGGACCGCAACACGCGATCTGGTTGTGCCTACTAGCCATGACAGTACGCCAATGCTGCGAAGAAGCACGAGGACAAAAAAAACCAGTTGTGCGTTTCTGACCACGAAGGCCGCTAAACTATCGTTGTTTTGTTTGTTGGTGGGGAGGAGTGTAACATAATAGCCACCGCAACACGTGCTGATATGTGATGTGTGATATGTGATATGCATCGTGTTACGTCAGCACCAGGTTGCTATAAAAGATGAGTGCGTAGGAAATAAAGGCTAGTGTTTTTGTCCACGGTATCAAGTGTGCTGTTCTTCCGTCAGCTGCTCTCCGCGAGTTGGCTATGACACACTACTTTTCGTGTTTTCCTGCAAAGTGATCCTAGTGAAAAACCTGATTGTTCAGACTATGGTTGCTTGTTGCAAGACTAACGGTACACTTGGCTGGTCACTTTCATCTGCTCTATAACCCTCTTACTACAAACCCATTCACCTAACTCAATCGAAGTGCTCGGAAGTACACCAACCTTCAAGAAGTAGAATTCAAGAGCACCACCTATAAAGGATGCACTCCTGGTCACACAGTTTCTTTGTATGCCATGTAAGCAGCTTATCAATCAGTTTAGGCAAGCTTTCCCTGGTTTGCCTAGGGCTTTCATATCCCAACAAACTGAGTCGTATTGCGGCACGGCTGGGCAAAGATACTTTGAATTTGTATCGCGATAAGATTAAGGACACCGAAACAAAAAGTGTGGAGATACAGATACAAGATACCACCAAAAAAGTTGTATCAGATACGATATTTACTAACTGTATCTTAGGATACCTCGATACATTGGAAAATTTGTAGTTGTAGATGCATATAATGTAGTAGCAAATGCATACACACAAAAAGGTCTGCTTGAAAAATTCTTAAATATGGCCAATTTCATTTTATTGAAAAGTTCAGTTTGAGATTAATGCTTTCCACGGTAGCATTGCGACAGCAGCATCTTGTATCTTGAGATACGAGATACTTTATAGAATGTGACGGAAATGCAGATACAGATACCTGTCTTGCGGGATATATAGCGATACTGATACAAGATACCCAAAGAGTATCTAAGATAGTATCTAAGATGCATGTATCTTCGATACTGCACAGCCCTGCAGTGCAGCAATGCAGCAGTTAAAGGTATCCTAAGCACAGAATAGATAAGTGATCCTCAGCTGGGGTGAGGAATTCAAGATGTCATTCATCATGTGAATTTGTCCACATAAACACACATGCGTAGAACCTGCTTATATATAAAAATTGTTGATATTGACCTGTTGCAACATCATCTTGGAAATAATATAGAGAGGTACACTAGAAATAATTGCTAGGGTCTCACATTCCAAAGCGACAGTATGACTATGAGGGACGCCGTAGTGGAAAGTCCTGGAAATTTTGACCCCCTGGTGTCTTTTTAATGTGCCCCTAAATATAAGCAGATGGGCCTCAAGCACTTCACCTCCATCAAGATGCAGCTGCTGTGGCTGGAATTCTATCTCGTGAACTTTGGGTCATTTAATATATGGAGGTTATTATGCAAGAAAAATGAGGAAGCTGTGGGTCCCATAATATGGATGGCTCACGCAGAATCTTGTTGACCCTTTGTTTCAGTAAGATTTTTGCAACACAGTAGTGTGATAAGATAAAGCATACCAAAAGTGGGAAGTACTAACTGAAAAGCAGCTATGTATATACTATGTAACTCTTGTATTTAACTAGTGCCAATACATCGAACTACACCTAGCAATTTTATCATCCCCTTTGGATTCAGCATGTCCGGCTTTGACTGTCATCACATCCACAAGGTGAACTTGACCCAAGGCTTGCCCTTGAATTCATCAAAAAAAGCTCAGTGCTGTCTTTTAACTGATCTATTGGTTTTAAAGAGCACTAAACGAAACAGAAATTTTCTGCAAATTAGTGAATCATTGAGTTGTTGTATTAGATGCATATTACTGTACTAGACACAAGCAAATTTATGTATTAAATGTACCTTGATATGCAATTATTAAGCTATATTAGAGGTAGAAATACTGGTTAATTTCTAGTGGCACCCACATGAGAAATATAAAAAAGAGCCACAAAACGTACCCTTGGCTTGTGAGGTCAACCACCACTAGATCATTCTGTAGAAGAACAACAACAGCGTAGGGTTCATGGAATTCTGCAAGCAAACAAAATATCCGTCATACAAGCCTCCAGACAATCAGCTGAGCTGGCTTGCCATACCTTCTCTAGATCTCTTGCATGTCCCATTTATCATTACTATAAGTACATTTTAATATTTCACTAAATATTACACAAAATATTAAATATGGACACAGAGTGAGTTGCATTCAGAACTGTGCTGTAGTCTAATCCATGTTCTTTGTATCAGTTAGAATTATTAGTAGAACGTAATTCAGTGTAGACACATTTACTAATGATAAGCTGCCATAGGGTACATTTCAAGTACCACAAGTTGACATGAGTCGATGTAAGACTACAACATGAAGCATCAGAATGGTAAAGTGCTATCAGAACTGACACCAGGCTCTCTGCATTGAAGCCAATGAAAATGTTTTCCACCAGAACAAACTGACAGAGACAGTCACTCATTTCATACTGATGAAAATCTGGCATTCAGGATCTAACCATTACATTTTTAAAACTTAGTTTTTCATGTTCTAAATGTACCATTTGGTAATAGAAAGTCACTTAAAAAGTTAAAAAGTTATGTGCCTGGGCTGTGTCTGGTGCCCAGCCATGTAAAGCTGTCTAGCTGCCTGGTAATCAATCCAGGCAACACTCTACAGTTAATGACGAACTGTGTAGATAAAATAAAAATTCTGGAGTTTTACATTCCAAAATGCAGCAAAAAGGCACAAAGCAGTAGAAAACTCCAATATAATTTTTACCACCGGAAGTTATTTAACACGCATCCTTTAACATGCACACTAAATACGAGCCTTTCACTCCAATCAAAATGTGACCTCAAAAAACACGAATCAAACCCCTGTCCTTGCACTTAGCCGTTAAATGACAACGGTGTGTCAACTGTTGAGTTAAATGACAGAACATACACACTGGCAGGACGTACCACTTTGGAATGGGGTTTCACAGAGGGTAACAAAATCAACTATGTTGTGCTCCATTTCCAAAACTGTTGTGGTTTTTCCATGAATAACGGTCAAGGCTGGTGTCTGGCCACTCTTGTCGAAGGGGAGGCCTCCCGAAAAAATAACAAAGGAGTCCCTGGAAAAAAAAAAAAACATGCACATATAAGACGCAATTCAGGGTCGACATATAGCACTTAAAGGATTTCAATCAATATTTGGTACATATTATGCCAGAGCAGATTAAAAAAAACCAAGAGCCGAAGTTTCATTCTCTAACAGGCAATTTTTCAGAACTCTTCCTGGGTTTATCAATAAAGGAAACAGAACTAAATGTTGCCATGGAAACATTAAAGAGATGTGTCATAGCCGAGAAGCAAAAGCAACCAATCTCTAGGACAGTGCTATTGCCGATATCTGTCATTACTTTGCATTTAGCAATGCAATACCAACCGGTAACAATGCCATTTGGTGGTTTTTAATGCCGTAGTTATTGCAGAACACCTCAGACTGAACAGTGCTCTAACAATTTCATTTCAACACCTGTTTCTTTGTTATTGTTCAATATTTTCATCATACAAACGTACTGTGCACCTCCCACAATATTCCAAAGATGGGTACTGTGCGAGGTGCACAGTACATTGAAAATTTTGCAAACGAACAAATACAAAAGACACACTCAAACCTCGATATAACGAATCCGGATATAACGAAATATCAGCATATACGAGACTAGGTGTATATATACAAGACTAGGTGTATATAAGCTCAAATGTGACAGAATCTGTACCACTGTAATCAAAACACCTACAGAGACAGCTGTGCTGTCAAGTATAGTTTTGACTAACTCAATGATATCTACACAGCTGGTGCTAGAAACCACAAATACCAGTTCAGTTAACAGTTCTATGATAAAGTCAAGCCTACTGTAGTAAGAAACCTGCTACAAGCTTACTTGTCAGAGTCCTTATTTCCGTTATCAATCTACACACTTGTTAACCACAACGATATTTGCAGCATAACAGCGAGCACCTGTCACTAAAATGATGCGAATTATTGGCTTTTACAGTATGAACACTCTCTTTATAAAGAGGGCTGAGAAATCATGAGAGATCTTTCATGTGATAAAGTGCCTCCGGGGTTAACAATGCTCCGATTTTACATTTAAGAACTGTGCACTCACAAGCATTGTTCTAAGTTTTCTCTGGACACAAAATATATTCAATATATCCACAAAGCTGTCAATACTTAATAAGGCAAACTTCTTGAACATCTTACATTTTTCATCTAGAGTGCACATAAAATAGTGGTCTATTTCGTTTTTGCAGAGAGCTTAGTTACGTTACTAGTAGCTGCATGCTAGTGTATGAGCACCAATAGCATTAATTCCATTTAATGCAGCCTATGCGATAATACGAGCATGTACTAAAAGACTACTATCTACTATCTTTAGACTACTATCTTTAGGCAAGTTCAGACCACAAATTGTAAGATAAGCACACGAGAGAAAAAGCGTTAAGGTAACGTCACACATCTGAGGCACCGGAAGCCACACTTCTGAACAAAATTATGCTACCAACTGTGTAATTGGCTTTATGAACCAGTTATGAACACACAAGTGCCAAACGTAGCAGTGTTAACTACTCACTGCAGCGTAAGTATTAACAAATCTTAGCTTCATGGATAATAATTTTGAGAGTTGAGAGACACAGAACCCACATTTGACGATGCCGTAAAGCCCAAACAGATGACGAGAATTCCCGATTTGCTAACACAACGCATGGCGCAATACACGGCAAAGGCAAATGTTACGGCATGCAACGCCTATAAAAGGGCCTCAACTAAATGAGACACACATCTTTTCCTGGGCATACGGCAGCATGCAAATCATTTCTGTTAGGGTACTTGCGTGTCGTGCTTTCCTGTTTATAAGAGAGAAAAGGAAACAGTCATTGTATTTAGAGTCCCCAATGCACGTCAAACGATAAGATTAATACAAATTGTACACCAACTTCAACATCAAACGAAACAAAGAGGCAAAAAAGGAGTGTAAAAAAATCACAGATTGCAGATACGTACGCCCCCCTCACTGTTTTCCATTCCACCTTGTAAATGGGCTTGCATGGATCGGGCTTGCCTTCTTTCGAATTCCGCACTGAAAAAAATAATAACATTTGAGAAAGAGTGAGCGAATGTGACGATGTGCCCTAGCGGTTGAACATGCACTGTGATGGAGCAGTGAAAAATGAATAAAAACTGGTATATGCAGGTTTTCCTTTCCCCTTCAGAAGAACAAAATGTGCTTTTTTTTTTCTTGTTTAAATAGAGTTAACGAGACTAAAATGAAGACGTAGCATGACAAAAACTTTACCCGAGTCCTGAGAAACTGACTACAACTTTTTTTCTGGCTACGAACATGAAGCTACGATCACAAACCATGAGCGTGGCCCTGCTGCTGAAGATATTTAAAAAATTTTCCTCTTTATTTACCACGTGAGAAATGAAAACAAGATTGTAATCACAATGTTTACAATATTTACAATGAACGAGAACTTTTCACTGCCATTATGAGACAGTAAACAGATTGATCATGTTTGCTTCTTGTACATTCGTTCTCACATTAATTTCTTATTAATTCTTAAAATCAAGCTTGACTCAACGTTACAATAATATCAAGTCTAGAACCAAATCTGCGATCAACTACTTGAGTTCATCTCTCAAAGTCTATGCATGTGAAGAACAAGCACACATCTTTAAAATTGACTGTGTGACATACCGGATCTACTCACCTAATTTATGCCCCCGCATAAGTTGTGCACCCCTAATGTTTTGCCAGTTTTAATAAAAAGAAAATTTTACTAGCTTATTTTGCGCTCCCCAAACCACTTAAGCTATCACTTCTACATAACTGGTCAAAGCTGTCGGAAATCTTTAGGATGCCACTATTTTGACTGTCAATCAAGTTTTGGAAGATCACAAAGTCCTATCGTGTCAAAATGACAAGTATGAATGTCCAAAGATTATGCTGAATTATGCTGAACAAACTTGAATATGCGCAGAATTGCTGGCAAGTGCTCCCGTTCTAAAGTGAAATAGAAAATTCCTGAGAGTTCCATTCTGAAGGAAGAAATAATTTCTTGGCAGGAATTACGGGGCCATGCAAATAAATTTGCTACCACCATCACCTATAGGTACCTAGTTCCGGGGAACTTGGTTGGCAGGCATCTCCTATAAATGATGCTATCTCCTATAAATGATGGAAAGACAGGACACGCACTAAACGTCTTTCACATCCCGTCTTTCCAATGCTACGGCCTGATTTATAGCGGAGAACCTAAACTCTGTACTTCTTAAAGCTATATTTCATTCCATTCAAAATGTAGGACACTCTACGGCTATACTAAAAAAAAAATTCAGTTTTGTTTGGAATATTGATGTGATGGAGCAGTTTTGCTGCTTTTATTGCTTTCTGTGATGAATGAGTGCAATGAGCATGGCCCTAAAAGATTAGAACCAATCAGGAAGTGCTCTATTTGTAGCGGAATAGGAAACAAAATTCAATAGCTTTACATCACAGCACCCCAGGCTGCATAAGGCCAGAGACTTGAAAACCAGTATGCCTCGGCTACTTTGAACCAAAGTACACATGCAGGAACTTTCAGTGCCTGTAGTATTAGCCTTTGCAGACAGAAAGAAAATTTCCTGTTGATATATTAAACCAACAAGCCAGATGTAGCACTAAGCTAATGTGATCAGGGTGTTCAGAGTACACACTTTTGAGCAAGACTTCTCAGACTTATACTATGAGAATCTTGCTTTTTTAGCACCTTACAAACTATGCTCGTTGCCGTAATTCTCCTGAAGGCACTTTCCGTTTAAGATTTCTGACACTGCTCTCTAAAGTACCGATTAAAATTCATGAATTCAGTACAAGCAGCGCTCATAAAAGGTTTTGTACATACAGCTTCCAAGTTCATATATGCAATGCCATCATGGTATTGAAGGATGTCTTGGCACCACGAAAATGTAGGTGCATAATTGGCTAGTACACTGACACAAATTAGAAGTTAGACAGTGGCAATATTTGCCACTGCATTACGCAGTTCTCACAAACTCGTAGGCAACGGACACAATGTCGGAATGCACGACAGATCTCACCGTGCGGGAAGATAGTGTTCATCGGTTTGGCAGGAACTCGTATGTTCCACGTGGTGAGGCTGCCGTCGGAGTGGCTACACATGAACTGCTTGCCTTCATGATGCCACGCCACAGAATGGAGAGCCTGCCAGGAAAAAAACAGCCCAAGTGAATGACGAGCCATCTCCACCGTTGTGGCGCAATCTGTTATTGCCGTAAGGCAGCATGAGGTACGTAGGCAACACAATTACGTATGAAGCTCAAAACTGACTCAAAATAACTCTCCAATTTTTTTGTTAACTTATCTGCCTAATCTTGAGTACTACAGTACATTGTTAGGATTTATGGAAGCGATGCTAGGATTGAAACTAATAACCACAGAAGGCTGAGCTAGTTGTTAGAGATTCATCGCAAAACAAAGGCATGCAGACACTGACACAACAGAATAGCCCAAAAAACACAATTACAGACTATCAACTTTAAATGTTGCACTTTAGGGAGAATTACGGTAGACACAAAGTTATTGGTGCATGCTGACAAAAAGCACGTACAATGAGATAGTTTAAAGCAAATGTGCAATCAGTACAAGTCGGGAAAAACTTTTTATGGCATTGAATAATGTTGGCACAACAGTATTGAGTGCACACAACTAGGTACTTCGCTGTACTGCCATGAGAAGACAAGACTTGGAATCGCCAGGAACATCTGATGAGAACCAAGAATTGTCAAATGGGTAGATTCAAGCCACAAGTGTCACCCAGGTATGGACGTCTAATTCATCGAACAAACACCGGCTATAATGCTGAGGCACCACTTCCATTTCTGTGCGATGAGTTAAGGGCATTGATCGGGAAAATCTCACGCCTCAGCAAGCCTTTCCACAAATGCAACATTTTCGCCACCAACCTGATAGAGAGCAGTATGTAGTTGTACAAGAAACTTGTCATGTTACACTGACAAACTAATAGCTAAATCATACGCGAGTTTTATTGACATGAGTGATGATATTTCCAAAAAATATTTCAGCACTGCATTTCAAAAAATGTGTCTACAAGAACTTGTCTCTAGAAACATCCAACATAATTAGGCTACAAACTAAATTTCTCTCGTCAATGGCTAGTCGTATTAATACAAACAAGACACGCATTCCATCCAGTAATCACCTCAGAGTGTTGAAATCTTGCATCGGCAGAACGATTGCGCAAGTCCCAGAGAACCAATGCTCCCGTCTCAAAGCCGACGAGCAGCTGTGCAGAAAACAAATGTGCAATTTTGTTGAGTAAAAATTGAGAAAGGTTGCAATAGCTTCATTTATATGCGTAACAAAGACACTTTTTATCTGGCTTATGTTCATTCGACAGTACACTTTCAAAAGCAATAGACAACACCGTATTAAACAGCATGCTTACACAAGAAAGGGTAAAGTTTTAGCGATGTTAACAGGCAAAATATTATTTAAAATGTTAGAAAGAAGAAAAAAATCCCATGCAGCTAATATCTTCTAATGAGGGCAGCACTTATGTCATTTAACCCACCTGCCATAGTAACTTAACAATAACTTCACTTCAACTTCATATGGTGCTCCAACCAAAACAGGCAAGAATATGTTGCCCCCCTTGAAGTTATTTGTGTAAAAATGTCTAGAAACGATATGCCTGATGAAATTATGCAAAGCTAAAGTTGCATGCTCTGTCTCTAGCTGGTATCACTGTACATGCACATATCCTCCTTGCAAAATGTTGTTTTTAGCAAAACTTTCTACCACAAAACTTCTCAACGATTCCTTCTTAGATGATGACATAAGACAGAGGCAATAAAAAAATTTTAAATAAATTTGTTTATTTATTTATTTATAAATGCACCCCAAAAATAGCATTTGCTTTTAGACACTACACTCGCTCAACTACATGTATATGTGAGGGCTTATGTGGAACCAGTGGTGGTTACCAATGCTTTGTAAAGGGCGGCATCATGTGCTGGGACTGATATGGAAGGGTAGATCCATCCACTGATAAAATTGCACACCTATTTAATAAATTTTTGCTTGTATTTTTCAGCATTGTTGATTATATGCAGGCAAGAAAACAGGCTATTCTTACAGCATTGTTGATTATATGCAGGCAACAAAACACGCTATTATATTGTTCTTTAATTCTTCAGTTTCGTTGCAAAGCATGCATTGGAGCTCCAAATACACTTCCGTTACGGAAACACTGTTGGCTATTTCTCATTTTTGGTACGCTTGGAAAAACAAGTGGTCACTCGAGAAACACAACTCGAGGCAGGTTGTGTTTACGTAGCAAGACGTTAACACAGCACTCCCAACAGTTACTTAATACGAGGACATGCCAATTTACCGAATGCATGCAACTATGCATCATTTAATCTTGTAATGCCCACTGTATCATATTTGGTACATTGAATATGATACGTCAATAAAGGTACTATAGATGTCATGATAAGCAGCTATTGCAGGTTTGATATGTTATGAAGAAGGTGCTATCAGTGTCAAATGAAGCCCAAACAGCGGCAAGCCTTCACGATGGTATACGCGAAGGCTTTCTGCTGTTTGGGTTTCATTCGACGCTGATAATACAATGACTTACATATTATAGGACAGTTTTAATTATTTGCAATTATTACCAATTATATTATGCCTCAAACAAAATTTCATTCATATGTTTCTTAAAATGAATTGTACAAGAAGAGCAAAAACAGTCAATGTTTTCTCAGATTTTTTCTGAAGTCATAACTATTCGTGGGCATTACAGGGTTGAACTAGCGCATAGAAGACAACAAGAAAGTTGGTCAGATGCTTCACAGCCGCACGAGCGCCGACTCATAAGGCCAATATGCATGCACAAAGCCGTGTGTGCATGAGGAAACATGCCTGAATATGTGCTCAGCAAACCACTGGACACAGTGCTTCGGGGCGCACACAATGCACAATACTCTCTTGCAATCCATCTCTGTCAATGCACAAGGATGAACAAGAGTTTTAAATGTGCTGCGCAGCTTGAACGCAAAAGCAGCACAGCAACGATGAACCCGCCATATGGTGCTGAGGCTCAGTTAAAAATATGGGCCTTAAGTGTCTCACAAGAACGATTTGGGAGAGCCTTACAAATAAAATTTGCAGCACCTCGCAAAAATAAGTTTCTTGCGAACACATTTTGGCAACCAAATGCACGCATTCCCAGCAGCTAGGTAGAATGCCTCAGAAGGATAACTTACTGAAACCTCAATAGTAAAACTTAGCGCCTCGTGCAACAAAAAACTGACAGTATCAAGTAGAATGAGCTCATTCTTAATATCTACTGTTTTACATCTCAGAACAAGGAAAATGATTATGAGAGACGCCATAGTGGAAATTTCGAGCATCTGGTGTTCTTTAACATGCACCAACATAGCACAGTACACGGGCCTCTTCCATTGCACCTCCACCCAAATGTGACTGCCGCGGCCGGAATCGAACCTCCGACCTTCGGGTCAGCAGCCGAGTGCCCTAACCACTCACCCACCATGGTGGACTGCACTTATTTTTAGGTAGTGGCCAGAAGCAAGCAACACATTCTATCTGTGCCAAAATGCTTAGAATGAGGACACAGGGATAACAGAATAAAAGGCCAGGTAATTGCTCGGATGTGTTTTTTTTTTTTGTACACACAGTCCATACTTGCAAAGGAGATATGGCCAAAGAATGTGTGCACTCAAGTGTACTGATATGCGGCTACAGGTCATCACAATGTTTCTTCTCACATCCCACACATAAGAAACAGTGAGTCAGAAGTGCCCATGTCATGCTTATCTCCATTTATATGAAACATTGACAAAAAAGCACTGTCAGCTCCAGTGCAGACTTTTGAAGCCGTGACTTTTGCGGCCCCCACTTGGCATTTGACATAGCTTTCAGCAATCATACCAGAACTTACTTGCCTAACTGCTGTGGAGGCTATATGATAACTAAAGTAATGGAACATCTAGAGAGGTTGCGACTGTGAAGAGTGAAGCTTTCATAGATTTATTATCGGGTGGTGATGTGTTGGTCATATTCGAGCCTTTCCCAAGAGAATGAATTGCTGTATGTGCAAAATTAAAATAGAAGTTCTAAGGGGACAAAAAAAAAGTAGAAAAATAAGATAAGCCAAAGCACCCACCTTATTATGGTCCACAGGGTTGTCGCTGACGTGAACCACCGCACCAGGATGAGTCTTGCGAGATCTGTGTAGATGGAGCAACAGCAACACCATGCATGAATCCTTTCTTAACAGCAGGCATTATAGGACTTCGCTTATTATTGAACTGTGCTTCACAAGCTTCCATATTCTTTATTAGTACCCATTTGTTGCAATTGAATATATTAATACGGCCCGCTTACTACCTGCACTTTATGGGAGCTTAAATTCACTTAATGTCATCAGAACATGTACCAGCGAGATGCGAGTCGTCTTACTGTGCAGTTACAGAACAGCTGCCCAAATCGCAAAACGCGTTTGCAAATTTTTGGTTGTGCTTAATAGAGCTGTAATAAACAACGCATACACATAATTTTTTGTTTCTGCAATTCGAATACCTGGGATATCACACCTTTTTGACACGTTAGGGAGACTGAGTGTGTTTGTAGTAAACAAAAAATGATAATAACGCAGCTTTGCACTGGTGTTGTCAAGCACGAACGAAATGCAGAGCTAGGCAGCTTTCTTTGTTTCTTTTCGATTTTCGCTTTCTTTCCGCCTTTCTTTCTTTTTACCTATCACAGTTTTACTACGTTTTTCCCCTCTTTTTATGTACAATTTATTTCCATTTTTGTATTTTTTCTTTCTTTCTCTGCATTTCTATTTATCACTAGTTTCCTTTTTTTTTCTATTATACGTCGTTCCGACCGTATTACACCAATGATCGACAGCACACAACAGAATACAGCAGACTGGGCCCCTAAAGTGCTCTGCACTTGATGTCATAGTTAAAGCGCTCGAATAACACCAGGAACACATCGTCTTCTTGGAGCGAGCACTTGCTCAGTGTAGACTACTATGCTACACACCAAGCTACAAGAAATGATGACACCGTATGACAGCCCAGGTCCCCCATAAAGTGCTCTGCACTTAAAAGAACAGTTAACCACGGGTGGCCTTTTTGGTAATGACTGGCTCGAAAATTCAAAATTTCTTTCGAGTGTCTTGTTGAAGCTTGGCAAAGCACACTCACAATTCTATAGCCTTGTTCCAGTTGATGACATAGCCAGAGAGAGTAAATGATTCTATGTTCACTACGTGCAAATTCCCACGCTCGGTGCCAATGTACAGCCATTTGCTCCTGAATGGCAGGTGACAATGGGTGATCCTAGAAAAAGAATAGAAAAACGGTTAGCTGTATTGGCTGCGATCCATCTCTTTGATAATATTTAACCATTGAAAGAGAAATGGTTACAGAAGCATATACACGAAAGTCATGAACAGAATGGGACTGCTATCAACATCAGTTTGTCATGAAGAATTGAAAATCGTTTCTTCATAATTACGTCACTATGGCTCAGAGGAAGCGTCTCAAAATTTGTCAAGCTCAGCCATTGGATCCTTAGTACACAACTAAAAAGATAACAAAGCTGAAGAAGATGCTGTCAAAATCCACACAATCACAAGCTGATGCCCAGTTCGTTTGTCTTTCCTGGCTCCCTAAAACTTGTTTTACAATAAGAATGGCTCTTTTGAGTGTTTATGAAGATGAGCGAGTTACAAATTCAACTGAAATAATTATCTGCGTTTATTTTTTTCCTTGCCTGTGTACCCTAGACGTTCTTGTTACTTAGCTCATACAGGAACCTCCACATCTATTTAGTGTAAGCCATGCTCATTTATCATTATTATCCCCTTCGGCGGCGGTGTGTACAATTATACACATCAAATTCAGAGAAATGTCACACACAGCATGTTTCTTCAGATGGATTGAAACTCAGCGTGCACATTCATGCAGGCTTCACAGCAATCACTTAAGTTTGTTGCGCTGAGTATTGCTGCCAAGGATCACTTTGCTGGAAACACTAGAGTGTTCACAACCAACGTAGAGAGTTTTTCTTTGCTCCAAATGAGTGCAACCACAAATCAAACTATGCATGCATTTTGGGCCTAATATTTGGTCTTTTTAAGCAAGGAATGAAGATCACTAATAACAGTAATTAGATATTTAATTATATGCTAATTGCCATTAATTACTCATGCTAACAAAAAACAACACATTCCTTCATTTTCTTTCCTGAAATGTAATATTGAGTGCCTTAAAATTATGCCATGCACATTTGATGCATTTCCAGACAGTGCATCATGACTCGCGCCCGAAGGGGATATAGATGCAAAGCATAGCAGGGAAAAAAAAACACTTGCCGTTCTTTTTGGAACTTGAGTGTGTGCACCACCTCGGGTTTCTTCTGGCGCAGATTCCAGAGGTGGAGAGTATCATCTGCACACACGCTAATCAGAGCACCCTGAATGAAAAACAACACGTATCCATTGAGGCCGGGCAAGACCGCTGTTATCCGACTTCCGCATTACAATAGGAGCACTTCCTCAAACTTGTTTTGAAACATGCCGAGTAAGTGAAACAGCCTCACCTCGTTCACCAAAAATAAAATCTGTATCACAGCATACTCCAACACATGTTGAATGGTACAATCCACGCCGGGCCGGCCAAACCTTTGAGACGTCACGAGTCAAGGTTGAGTAGCAAGGGTAACTGCACGCTGTCAGCACATGATCTGACAGTTTTGCAATGAAGCACACAAGGCTAGTCTCTAAAACGACAGAAAGTCAAGTGGTTTGCTTAAAATTTGCTGTAGAACAAATTAGGAATAGCATACACGGCCACAAGAGAAATATATGGCACAAATGCCAACTGCAAGAGAAGAAACGTCATGCTTAAGCAGTTATTTTTTATGTGACCCACATGTAACATATTAACAGAGGGTGCAGCTTCTGCTAAAAATTCACAAATAAGGTTTGCAACAACTTTTTTCACCACAGCACAACTTTTCATTTGATGACTGTATTGAATGTTTCTTTTTTTTTTATCTGGACGCCGTACTTTCTTCCACACTAGATGCCACTTTGTAACTAGCTAAAAGTATGAGCGGTACTTTCGCACATTCATACAACACATACAACCTGAGTGTACGCAAACAAGCCACAGGTTGCGATAGACATAGCTTCCACACACATTTCTGCAACTTTAATGAAGTACACAAATATGAATATAAAATTCAATCAGTTCACTATGTCATCAGAAGTTTTGCTGCTTGCTAAGTATGAAACAGGTATGCATTTACAAAAACTAGCAAAATTTTTTGGGTATAAGTGAAGTGCACTTGAGACCACTGATATTGCAGACGGGTACTGCAGGCTGCGGTTACAGTTAAAAGGAAAAAATAAAAATAATTATTGTGACTCCACAAAGTTTCATTCCACTTTCGAGAAACATCTGAAGCAGCACATGTCAATCAAAAGCTTTTAGACTTTTGCTGCATGGCTGAAGTCAATTTTTTTTTATTTAAGTTTTCGGGCTGCACATGCCAAAACAAAGATGTCATTGTGAGGCACGTCGCTCTAGAGAAATATGAAATAATTTTAATCACCTGGGGGTTTTTATAGCTAATGATAAGTAAACAGGTGTCCTGCGCTTTGCCACCACTAAAGTGTGGCTGCCATAAGCAGACAATCTCAGTAAGTAGTACGCAGATAGTTAAATCGACATATCTTAGAAAGTCACTATTGCATGTGGCTAATTGCAATGTTTATAATGAGCAATTAAAGAGAAGTGTGATGACTTCAAGAGAAGTGGTGTGCTCGTCCAGATGGCGCACAATATGTGTTAGCTTTGCTAATGACTTCTCAGCTGACAGATTCAAAGCAATGTGAAAAGTTATTGATGCATACAACTGCACTTCGCACCATATTAACTGCTATTTGGCATAGCTGACTTATTCAAAGCAATGAAAAAAGTTATCGATTCATAAAACTACGCTTTGTGCCATACAAAGTGCTATTTCATTTATTTCTATTCTAATTTTAACAAGTTCATTTCATTTTCAAGATCAATGTGTACAGTGAATGAAATAGAAACTTTCAAATTCTTCAGTCAGTTTCATCAATTTTACACACTGCCAACTTCACGCAAGATGCCTATAGAGAAATGTTACTGCAGAAAAATGGAAAGTTGGGCTGGTTGGAATGCTTGCGTGATTGAATCAGCACTAAAGACTAAGACAAAAGGAACACAGAGTGCACAGGTCCAAAGCCCTTGCCAGAATTTTTTCGGGGGGGGGGGGGGGGCACATCCATTATTTTGGGGAGGGCAGCCCCTTAAAATGGTCATTTTCTTTGCTCTCTATGCCATGTGGGGGGGCACGGGTTTTATGTGCTCTCCCCTGGCCCTGCACAGGGCAGTACTTTCTCGTCTGTAGCGTTGCATCAATCATGCAGAGGAATGTTAACTGCTTTGCATTTGCCACTTCCAAAAAGAAGCTATGCAGTCGCTTGACAAATGCGTCATATGGAAAACATTGTAAACAATCATAAAGGTATCGATTCTCACAACTTAACGATGTACTGATGTAGACCAGAAATGCAGCCTTTACACTTGCATTTTACACTTGCTACTTGCACTGTAGATGTGACCTGCCGCGTTGTTCTAGTGGCTATGGCACTCGACTGCTGACCCAAAGGTCGCATATCGAATCCTGTCTGCAGTGGCTGCATTTTCCAAGGAAGCAAAAATGCTCCAGGCCCATGCACTTAAGATTTAGGCGTGTGTACGTTAAAAAAACACCAGGTGGTCTAAATTCCAGGATCATTTCACTACTGTGTCTCTCATAAATATATAATGGTAGTAGGATGTTACACTCCCCCAGATATTTATTGTTATTATTATTATCATTGTACATATACTTATTCAGACCTTAAACCCATTAAATAAAATTATGAAGATGCATGCATCACATTCTAAAAAATTTCATTAGAGATTCTGTGTCTGCACACTATTTCAACATGCACAAAATACTAGCACCACCTCACAGCACCTGAAGGGTTTGTCCAAGCAAAAGAGCAAGGTTTGGATTTTGTCAAGTTTTCAGGCAAACAAACAAAAAAATGACCAGGATGTAGTTCCAACAAAAAGTCAGCTAAAAGAGAGAAATACATATATATACACACATACATGTACTGAAAATTATGTTGCCTGCGACTTCCTACCCCAGTTAATTCACACGAAACGAGGCATCATTATGCTAGACATGCAGAAACTAAGCCCACTGTTCAACCAAACAAGAACCTTGGCCCTTCAAACTCCCCCAACATACACAACATCCTCAAAGTATTAGGCTGCCGTTAGCTTAAGTGCTGGCTGTTACGGCAAGTTGTATTTCATGGCGACTCACTTGAGCAGTGAGTGTGTATACATACCTACCTGATCCAACAACCCTTGCACTCTTTTAACGCTGTTTAAATGAATGCTCCCGTTATCAAAACATTGTTAAGCATAAATTGAGGACAAAAACTGATATAACGTAAATTATAAGATGAAGTTAAAGGAAAAAATGTACATGCAATAAGAACTAGCAGACCTAGGACTTGGAATATAACTTTTTTTAATCAAAGCAAGCACATGAAACAAGCATGCTTTGATCTAGCTTTCCCTAATGTCTGAAAGACACTTTACTTGCTGTACTGGGCAAACCCTGCACTACAGTCAATAGTATTTTCTTTTTTGGTCTGACTGGTTGACCTTTGTGTATCCAAACAGGTTGACTGCTTTAAAGTTTCTTGGAAACTGGGCTGAATGAACTGATGTTATACAAGATACGGGGCCTTTGTCAAAATAAATGGCATTTACGAGCAGCAAATTGATGCCGACCATTTAGACGTCAGTGAAGCTGTCCCAAGGATATACAATGGTGATTACAGTTACACAGTTCAAATATATCTAAACCACCCATTCAAAATGACACAGTTCAAATATATCAAACCACCCATTCAATGACACAGCACAAACTGCGAAATGAAACGCATAAGCATTTATTAGATCAAGACAAAAGGCATGAACACAAGGAAAATCGTACAACACAAAGAACAAACAAAACAGAGCAATAAAGGAGCAACAGAACATACGAACTCAACATAACATACAAACCAAAAATACATGCTTGAGAGACATTGTATGTGGTGCAAAAAAAAACCTTGCCAATTTTTTTTTTAGTACAGTCAAGTTGTGATGAAACATACCAAACACAAGTATGCTGTTTGTGCTTGAAACAGTGTGTCAGCATACACCCAGCAGTACTCCGATTTTTTACGTTAACTCATCTGCTTGAACTCAGTGGTTATCTGTACTAAATGTTGCAGCTACACCACACCATGCTTAAAGCACAACCATATAGCAAACTTGTTTTCGAGGTTAAAAATACTCGCGGTTTTTCACCTGATACGCTCCCTAGTCAATGTACAATCAAGCGCAATTTGAAGGTAATCGCGCAAGCCTCAACTGCGAATTACGACAGCGCCACGTCCCAGAATACTCCTTCGAGGAGAGTGTGGTACCACGCAAGCTTCACTCACCCTTTTTGCTGTTGCTTAAGCTGCGATCACTCCCACCTGGGCAAGCTGTTTCCACAAAGCAGTGCCAATCACTAACTTTAACACATCTTTCCCAGCATCCTTCCCACAGAGAGAGGAGCTCACAAAGAATACACCAAGTCTTGATGACTGTGAATAGAAGGTTCAAAATTGAGAGGAAGGGGGAACAGTTCGTCATAGGAGCGATCATTGTAGCATGGAACCGCCAATGAGGGAGAGACGAATGTGTAATCTTGATTTTCACTGTTCCGAAATGTGCCGTTAGGTCTTTGGGATATTAGCAGGTCAGCGCTCGGGCAATAACTTGCATATCGTGTGTGACTGTACATGCTTAGCAACCCTACAAGAGCCACACATGGTGCAAACCCATGATTTTTAAGCATGGTAACACTTTCACAGTACAGTCCCAAGTTCATCAAATGGTGGCATGGAAAAACGAAGACAAGCTATGTGGTGAAACGTATAACAGCTGTTGAATACCACTCATAGAAACAAACAAGATTGCAGGGATGTATGGTCCTGATATTCTAATAACGCCATAAAAGGTGTCACCTTTGTAATCAGTGTGTCACCAGCGATGGTTAAAACAGCAGCACTGTTCTGATGTGACTATTCGTTAACATTAAACTTTTGCCATACACTTATCTCAAGTGCAACCTGTCACCTGGTCTTTCAATAAATATAGAAAGCGTGGACGCACACATAGAAGGATACAACCTCAAAGAGCCATTTTTTGTTCCGATGGCAAGTATCCGCTGCACGGGATCAAATGCCAATGCTGTTGGTTGGAAAGGAAATCCATGGCGTACAGTCTGCCAGGTGCAAAAAAAAGGAAATTTTGTGAGTGCATTAAGAAGTGGGCAAGACTTCCTCTGCTACTTTTCTCCCACCACAATTAAATTAATCATAAAAACCCAGGAAATTGGAATTTTTAGAGGACAGCACACATCTCCTTTTATATCCCTCTCTTGGTCCAATTTCGGCTGATCGGCCTGCCTAGAACTATACGCACCTAGTATGAAACGGCCAATAAATATTGAAGCATCATATGTGCCCCTGTGCACAATAAAAACATGAGTATGACTTATCGGATAGAAACCTTTGCATGTGAATGTGCCTGATATAGGCTTCGGTAACCCTCTGTAGAAACAATGCAATACATAAGTGCCACCTTTTTCAAAAGCCACAGACAATTACGTAAGCTGACAGCATACTACAATGGCTTCTTTGTAGTGGCAGAAATATAATAATTTGTTTTCATTAAATTGCAATGACAATACTCAGTGTGCAAGTCCCAGTAAACTAAAGTCTTTGCATATAACATTGTGTTTCAAGGGAGAAATTTACAAGGTAGACGCGGATAAGAAATTTCTTTTTAGCATGTACAGCATCAGGCCCGGAAAAGATTAAAAAATTTGGCGAGCTTTCGCTAACATACTTCCGACGTACGCAGAAAACAAACGAAGAAAGGTCGAAGCCTTCGCTATGATTAATGTGCTTTTCAGGAATTCAACCAATCTGCGTCACTCGCGCTGCATCTACGCCAGATAGATAAAGGTCGTAAGAGAACTATCGGCAGGTTCAGGGGTCCTGGAAACAGTATTTTAGGGGCCGGGTCTCGCTATTTTGCATGCACTGAGCAGGAATTTAGGACGCAACTAACGAAGGCTCGGCAATATGGTGTTTACGTTTTCGAATGCAGCTGCTTTCGATGCTCAATCGCGCAGATACGGCGACTCGCCACTCGAGATCGAAGACGGTGAGCGAACGGCAAACTACTGCGGTACCAAACTCGATAATGCACGACAGCGCCAGCCCCGTACGACATTTATAACATCTGCGACCGCCCTTTGCGCGTTTACGTTAAGCACGTACGGGTCATGCCGCGTTGGAAATGCCGCTTTCCAAAGCTGTCCGCGTAGGCACGTTCGACGAAGCGGTGAAGTTCTAACCGGTCCTCGATGCAATGACACACGAGTGATATAAAATACAGCGCTTATAATCGATGCCCTCGACGCAAACCGAAACAAACTGCGGCCAGCGAAAAGTTGCACAAACAAACTCTGGCATTAAGATATCAGAAAGGCACAGGTAGCGAGTAGATGCGCACCGATAACGCGGATTCGTGCTTCGCTGACACATGCGAAGTGAGAGGTACGCTACGTGCCAAATACAACAACGCACGCAATCCGTTGAGGTCAGTGATGTGGCCGATTTCTTTTTTTTTTTTTTTTTCTAAACATCGCCGTCTTTCACAATCGCGACACAAGAGCCATACTGCATAACTACGGGGGCCGGGCCGTCGCCGAACTGGTACGCAGTGCCACTTAAATCGCGGATCCAATGCAAATCCGCGTGTGCACGCGTAAGCCCGAGCTCAATCCATGCATCCACCGTGGTAGGCGGATTCTTGTCAAGCACAGAACCCGCGAATGAAATGGCCGACTCCCGTCATAACACAAATCACACCCCCCTTTTGCTGTCGGGCACAGAGATTGCAACGATCGTGCGGTGCAGTCCGTAACGGTTCTCAAAAGTGTTCGCTTACTCTGGAAACCTTAAAATGTTCCGGTCGGAGCGTCTCTTCGACGTCGGCTTCTGGTTTCACTGGTTGGGTTACCGAGGACCGTAGCCCATCGAGAACACCCTTGAAAAATCCAGACTTTTTCGTATCGGATCTAGGCATCCCCGATGAAGATGCGGTCTCGTTATCCTACTGGAAACATGAGCACGCTGCACTCAGTGCATCCGAATGCAGTGAAAGGATAAAAACAAAAACTACGTGGACACAGCCCCGACTTGCGAAGCGTGAACTGTTACGGAAAAAAAATTCCATCGGTTTCTGATAGGGGTCGCTTGGTGCGCTTTCCGCGCTGTCCAATGGGCGCAACGCTTTCACCACCCGGATGTTAGTCACGTGACTGCTCAGCTAGTTTTGGTATGCAGTCAATGACGAAAATAGCGAGCATACGCCGTTTGTTTCGGGTCTTACGCTTCAAAAATATTCGCCAACGTCAGGCGAGGGTCACCATAAGGGCTCAAATATAAACTACGCCATTATAAGGCACACATTCATATCTTGCAAGCTAGCCTTCAATACCGAAACTAAACCGCGTCCTTGATGGCAATATTTCGGATGCGCTCAACGACAAATAACTTTGCATAACTCTTGAGAGTGTTGCTCAGTCATGCGACTCTGCGCGATGCATAACTTTCTTCCCACGAACGGGAAAGGAAAACGCTCGCGTGGTTCGCGGCTGAGAAAAGTGACGCACGCTGTGGTCATGCGTCCAGCGCACGCGAAGATTTGAACTCCGCGGAACGGAATGCGGAATTACGCTCACACACTGAATGGCGCGAAAATTCAGACTCAATTAGCTGAGCCAAAATTTTTGTTTTAAAAATTGTGAGAACTATGTATGATTCAGCTGTTTGGATGCATGTAACCCGTAGATGGTAGCAAATCATCAGCAGTTTGTTGAAATATTACCTCCGAAGCTTAAATCTTTCAACCACGATCTAATAATTAACGCAACTCAAATGAGATTCTCGTATCAACATTTTTGTAGGAATAAATTAGTGTGCTCGCAAAGCAAAACTCCAAAGCAGGGATCAGTGAAGCGCGCCACATGCGAACCAGCTTCCTCCATGACGACTGCAATCCCTGTTTTACTTTAATGAGCACGACCATGGGCCTCGGCAGGGGGGTGCAAAAGGGGCACTTGCCCCCCTCAAGCTACACCAGCACTTGCCTTCGCCCAAGTTGCACCATGTGCTTCCCCCTCTCCCAGTCGCGGTGCAAAACTGATTAATTTGTACTACCCCCCCCCCCCCCCCCCCATTAGCTCGTACCATGTTTTCTGCTTTATCAAATCAAGCACGGTCTTCAAAGAACCACGGCCCGCTCTTCCAGCGCAATGGGAGGAAAGTAAAAAAAGCAGCATTTATGTATCCGCTCTTTTTCATAGCTGTTGCTAAATAATTCTAGCTGAAGAACCGAAAAGCGCAATTTAAGAGACGTAATTGCTTCAAAATAACCAAACAGCTATAATTGCGCGCTCGATCAGTTTATTTTACTTAGATCCTAGTAATAAGCAATTAAAATTCCTCCGATTTAGGATGAGATGCTGACAGCAACGTTTCACAAGCTTTTTGTCAAGTTGACCTTTTTGCGTGTACGTGTGTATGCGAACAATTAAGCGGTCATTTCTTCTACTCTTTTCTGACGTGCACGTATAGTCTGCCAAATGTGTATAATTACTGGCCCACCAGTTATCGACGCACAGCGTCGCAATGTGACTCATGCCAGACAATCACCCAGCTCGACAGGAAGCACTTCCTGCTCTGCCCGCTCTTGAACCTCCATGGTTGGTCTCCTTCTTTATCTCTGCTTTGCATTCATTTCTTTTTTTTTCTTTTTTTTTTGACGAGAGATGGATAGGAAACGGAGTGGGTCACAAAGCAACTGCTGAAGCGTGGCCGTCACTCTCGTAACCCGACAAAAGAATTGAGAAAGGAAGTGGACAGTGTGTTGCCAGTGACGTTTCCGTTTCACCATATCAGCTGAATGGAAAGAAGTCGGTGTGCCATCCGCAAACAGCGAGGGAACTTTGTACTGTGATCCGCGAATCTTCCATTAATTTACTAATACACGCGGCAAGTTGGTACCAAGTGCGTGCGAGCAGCAGGGTGGGATTGATTGATTGATATGTGAGGTTTAACGTCCCAAAACCACCATACGATTATGAGAGACGCCGTAGTGGAGGGCTCCGGAAATTTCTACCACTTGGGTTTTTTTAACGAGCACCCAAATCTGAGTACACGGGCCTACAGTATTTCCGCCTCCATCGGAAATGCAGCCGCCGCAGCCGGGATTCGATCCCGCGACCTGTGGGTCAGCAGCCGAGTACCTTAGCCACTAGACCACCACGGCAGGGCGGCAGGGTGGGATGTACAATAACAATTATCGCTACTGATCAATTGGTTTTCTCTCGGCCCTATTGCACTCGTCTCATGACCGACCTGAGCAGACTGCATTTTGATGAAAGTCGCGGAGTTTCGATGATAGGCCCAGGAAGTCTCTTGAATTCAACATATACGCTCCTTTGAAACACTTCCACCTCAATTTGCAAGGGCCGGAAGTACAATGCGAATTCTATTTATTCGTATATTTATTTACTTATTTGTCAATTATATTATTCCCTTCTGGTTTGCCGTGTGGGCTTTGCGTTTTGCGCATGATCTAGAACCCATTTGATTCCCGCCGCGGGGGTCTAGTGGCTAAGGCACTAGGCTGCTGATCCGCAACCTGCTGTGTTTTAGATGGAGGAGAAAATGCTGTAGGCCCGTGAGTTCCAATTTGGGTGCACGTCGAAGAAACCCAGGTGGTCGAAATTTACGGAGCTCTTTAGGCGTCTCTCATAATCATATGGTGGTTTTGGGACGTTAAACTTCACTATAACTATGTGATCTATAAACTATTTGATCATCTTTAATTAATTAATTATTTATTTATTACCTGCCCGCGGACAACTTCTTCATTGTTAGTGGACCAGGACGAATGGCAGGGTTTTCCCGATTCCTGTGGTACCGAGGGGTTTCCTGTTGCCTGGTGTTTCCTGATGAGATGCTTACAGTTCCGGAGTAGCGAATAAGTTAGCTATATACAGCCTGAACGTAAAAAAAGAAGACTTTTCTAGCAAATGAGGAACGGAAACTAGAGAACCACTGTAACTGCCATATCTCCAGGTTAGCTGCGCTGCCCTGGCGTTGGCGGCGATCATTGGGAAACGACCGCCCTAAAAATTAGCCATCGATCGGCCGTAGTGTATGGCAAAGAATAGGCAATAATTAGTCATGGTTCGTTAGCCATATATTTAAGAAATCATTATTCAGCCTTCAGGTGCGTCGTGATGCAAGAGCTAAGAGTTGAAAAAGCAAGCTTCTCCGCATAAAGCCTATCATTGCAGAGAAGCCAGTTTTGCAGAACGCTCTGTCGCTACGAAAGCCCGCACCCAGGGACAAGTCTTGATGAGGTTGATGAAGAGTAACGCACATAGAAACTTATTAATCTCTTTCTTCTTATTATTATTATCAAGAAAGAAATAAAGAATTCCTAGAATGGAAAACAACGGCCACCGCTTTCTTTGCTGAACTTCTCGGCGAAGTCCCAGCATCCACACGACTTTGCGACGTCGGGCACGAGATGGTGTAACGAGCCTGACGGATGGAAAAGCTTCCAGTCTGAACAGTTCTGCCGCGACTTGGAGGAAAGAGACAAGGCCGCCTGACAACAATGCGTTATTCAACCGTTTGCGTTTATGCGGATGTTCAATTTCGACCCACTTCTGAGCGCGCGCAATCGTGAGTGTAGAAATCAACGTTTCTCCTTCGCAGAGGGCCAATAAAGGGCGTGGAGGCGGCGCACCCCCGCGATAGGCAAGCGCTGGCCTCGCCCCGTGAACAGGTTATATCTAAATTCACGCGTCTCAGTAGCAGGCAAACGAACGACAAAGAACGTTCCTCTGTCAATCAATATAAAGCTCCATTTCATTTCTTCAACACAGCCCATAAAACATAATTTAGCATATTTTGATATATTTTCCATGTTGCGAAAAACATTTTTTTCTCTATTTTCATTGTATTGCATGTTTTTTTTTTTTTGCTACATGTCTTTGAAATGTACATGATTACTGATATTAAAATGCTTATTGTATTTTTTCTTCCTTCTCGATGCTATAAGTCTAATTTTTTTCATGTTTACCATGTTCAGGAGGTTCCAATTAAGTCTGCAATTCTGGAACCGCCTTCTGCATACTGATATGCAAAACTTCATTTTATGGAAATAATAAAAGTTTTTATTCCGATTCTGGAAACGCAATAACGCCCAATTCATCATCGTTTTCTACTACTATAGATTGCACAGTTCCCTATTGGTTATATCCTTAAGCGATGGGTCTGTAATTACATGTTCAATGCAATTTGATCGCTAAATATTTAAAGACGTTTTATTGACATGCCAATATTTATTCCGATTCATTTGATTCATGAGCTCATTTACTGATGACACATTTGCTTTTTAATATTAACTTACGCTGTCACGATGCTTCTGATTATGAACTACGCGATTCTCCAGCAAAGTCCTAGAGCTTGTACACGTGCAACTGCGTCAATCAGGGAATGTACCTCAACATCGACACGAAGGTACAGCCTCCTTAACCGAGCGGAAGCAGCGTACAAGTACTAGCGATGCGATCTGAAACACCCGAGTTTTGATATAAATAATCCCTCACAATCCATGTATTCAAACGTGGTACACCAGCAGCGTAGCCGGGGAAGGTAAGAGGGGGAAGGGTGCACCCCCGCCCCTCGAAAATTTTGAATTGTGTATGTGGACTCACACACACGCATGTGCACACAAACACTGGCTACGCCCCTGTGATACATTTATAGTGCTACCACAAGTGTGTAGCAGAAATCGTACCCAAGTATGCGTAGACAAGCATGCACCCATTGCATTTATAGGAATAATCGAGGCGTAGCAATAATAAGGGTCCCAGCAGGAGTCGAACCAAAGGATTCTGCGAGACAGTCAAGTATTCTACCGCAAAGCCACGCCAGGTCTTGGAAACTGCTTTGGAAAAGGACCTTATGCAGGTGTAACGTTGGTGAAACATCAAGTGTGGTTGCCAGTGCTGGCTGTCTAATTTTATAAACTTTACATATGTGCTCCAATGATATAGGTGTCGCATCAGGTTAAAGCAAATTGTAGTTAAGCACCATCCCCTGAAGTTGGTCTATGCACGTAGCACTACCCAGGGCTACTATCCTCGCAAGTATAAGCGCTAAGTTTCATCTTACCACTTCTAGTGTCGGTTTTCCCATGTTACTCTTGGCATCATTACGCAACTGTAAACAACCAGTTGTATAAAACATGTGCGACTGTTAAATATATGTCTGTATGTACATTTGTACATATGTGTAGCGTAACTTCGTAACGACTCGCTCGATAAAACTTTACACCACAGTCATGTTCTCTCCACATGCTCCACATAACATAGATTCTTGTGGCTCGTGGAATCTGCGAAATGCCTGAACTTCACCTACCTAAAGGGAACTTTTTGGCCACATCCCTTGCTCCGAGTATATTGGTCTACATATATTGGTTTCTGAACCTTTCCCTTAACGAGCCAACAAAAGTTTTAGACACTTAGGATGTAGACCAATGTACACAGAGGTGGTGAGCGTAAATTTGTTGTAGTTGAGACATCAACTCTCTGAGCATGTCCACGTATGTGCACTTTTCTCGCAAACAATCTGGACAAGTCGATATTGGAAGCACTGACTGTGTAGCCCATCAGCTTGATCTGTACCCTTACTAATAATCGTAATCATCACCATAATAAGTCTGAAGAGGCGAACGCATGCTGCTAGCCTGGCGATTATTCTATGGACCAGCCAACGGCAAAACGTTACTCAAGTGTGATACAGATATTTAACATGAAAGTTATGGAGTAAGCTTGTGCAGCCATTCGACAACAACGAACGTTACTGCAAATGTAAACGTCACGTATAGGTGATATTATTTATAGCATGTCAACGACACTGACTTACTATGACTCATTCCGATGCGTAACTTAATTGCCTGAAGTTGATGACTATAATTGCTTTGGTTGCAGGAGGAACATTGTTGAAGGCAGTTGTACTCATTCGAACACTTCGGAGTTTGCATTGCTATCAAACTCGCTTGCTTCTTTATAAACAGAGGGCAATGAACAAAGCACAGTCTAGTTATAAAAGATATTCATGAGGCGGGCAAGTTGGCATGCAGAAATATTTTTGAAAAGTTTTTGTGCGCATAAAAGTGTGACATTTCCACGGCCTAGCATCATGGAATGTAGTGTGATGAAGCCTTTAAAACAGCGCAACCTTACGTTTAATTGTAAGTGGCTATCAGCTGTACGGGACTTTTTTGAGAAAACCTGTCATATGTACTGACATTCCCACCAGTACCATTTAGTCTGAAAAAATTGTTTAGAAGGCCCAATGATGGCTTTGCCCCATGATTTGCAATCGCTGTCCTTGGTTGCTATGTGTGACTTATTTTTTCATAGTGACAACACAAATATGACTAACATATAGTAAATAATATTCACTGGCTTTATAAGTGGACTGCGCTGTGACTCAATATAGAGAAGCTGTACAGTTTTGTTGAATAGGCACAGTTTGAATGAGACTAGTTAATATCACACAATAGGAGCAGCTAGCTGGTTACAAAAGACTGCGCCGTTAGAAATAGTCCCACACCAGAAGACGAGTTTTCACAGGCTGCCGAAAAACCTCGAGGAGAAGTCGAAGTTTGACGGCGGGGGAGGGATTGGAGGGGGCGTTTCGGGGATGTGGATGCCTTCGGTTTCCAGAAGCCTAAGTCGAACCTCCATGTCCAACAGAATGCCCATGTCTCCGCGCGCCTCGATACTATTCGCAGCGTTGCCCATTAAGACGTTCAGTCCGTCCAGCCAACGGTTGAGCACCTTTGCATTAGGAGCGACCAGATTGAGCGGCTGGCCATCGTTACAGATCACAATTGAAAAAGCCAGGTCGACGATCTGCCTGGCCGCCTTGCGCGCGTGAGGGCATGACGCACCCGTGTTGATCATTTCGATGTCCGACACCACGATACTCTCTGGCAGCTCTTCGATGTCAACGTCATCGCAGGTGGCATTGCAGTCACCATAGTGAAGGGCCTTTAAGTTGTGTGAAAGCTTAACAAAGACATAACCATCCTTGATGCGGTTCCCTTTGGCTCCGTACTTTTGGAACCTCGATCCTTTGCAGAGAACGTTGATGCGGTTCTCATTCACCAAAGAGATGATTTCTGCACGGAACGAGTCCCTCAGCTGGTTCACCGCTCGAGACTGTCTCTCAGACGCCTTGCGTTCGTCGTTCTCTCGTTGCAGTTGTTTGACGATTTCCGAGTAAGGCAGGGATGACAGCGTCGTGCGGAAGCTGTTGATGTCCAGGCAATGGGGATTGAGCTTGAGCGCCCGCACAATCTGCTGGTTCACAATACCGAAGACCTTGCGAATGCTCGTCTTGGACGCCTTCATTTCACGCCACGTCTTGAACACGAGTAGCATGCACACACTGAACACTTCCTCGAAGAAGCACTCGTGGGAGAAGTACATGAGCAAGAACGTTTTTTCGTCACCAGCCGGCTCGCCCACTCTGAACACGCGGCACAAGAGTTCGGTCAGCAGGATGCTACTTTCGACCAAGGGACACATGTGCTCGGACGAGCTGAACAGATTCTCCTGAATTGCCGTGGTAAAGCTCAAGTTGTACTTGTCAGCGAAGTACAAGAGGTTCTCTATGGCAAGTCTGCCCGCCGGCTTCGCGAAGTTCTTCAACGGAACTCTCACGTCCTCAAGCCCCATGGCGGTGTGGTGGACTGACAGGCGTCGTTTGAAGTCTAGCTGCTTATACCTGGCGTCATCTGACTTTAAACCACTCTGCGCGAGCTTCAAGAGAATGTCGACCTTGCCATTCAAAGCCAGGTCTGCGGTGTCAACTCTGGCATTTCGCAGCCGCTCATATAAACCAAGCATCTGGGCTTGAAAGACATGCAGAGCATGCGCCAGTTCCGAATCGACTTGTCCGTAATTCTTCAGCCTCGTCCACACGACGCTCTTTATCTTCCAGTTACTTATGGCGTTCTTAAGGGCGTCTCTGTTACCAGGACTACCTTGGGCAAAAAGGGCGTTCAACAGCATGATGCAATTCCTCATGACCACTACCGAACCTTCCTGCATCAACACTGCATATCGCTCCCAAGGCATGCCCATGAAAACGGTTTCATATGCAGCCGGGTTACTCGTCACTACACATTCCAGCGCGCTGAGAAACACTTCCACATTATTCCACTCAGTACCATTGGCAGAGTTCGTTTCCTTCAGTATCCTACTCAAACACTTGTTGGAAAAGATCTCCCACGTTACGAGGCCTTGATCGATCAAACCCTGGAGACACTGAATCGCTCGGCAAAGCAGGTTCCCCTTGTACACACCGACTTCGATCCAGCTCACGATGCTTTTGTGACCTTCGCGGGCAATGAACTTGACGGCGGAATCGGGATCCGCGGCCAGGATCAGCAGCGCCTGCAGGGCTTCCGCTTTCTCGTCCGGTGTTCCGGAGCTCAGCTTCTCGATTACCTCGTTCCTGTTCATCGGCATGCGGACCAGCTGGAGCATGTCACCGTTCCTGATGTCCTGCCGGTTGGCGTCGAAGATGTACACTTCGCTGCCGTCGTACTTAATCGCGTAGAGGTCGGGCTCGGTGATGCCCACTTCTTGGCACACGTACTCGACGATAGTGAACAGTGGCTGATCTAGATCTAAATCAAGCAGTAGATCTCCGCAGGGAGTCTTGACGCCGACCTTCGCCCGCTTCCCGACGGGGGCGGCCGGCTTCGCGGCAGAAGCCATCGCAAACAGCGAGCCGCCTAATCGGGGGCTGTCGGCCACGGCAATATACGTTGTCATATACTCATCGGACGGAGCGCCGATTATACATCCCACTGAGCGGCGTGGACTTCGTTCCGACGCTCCTATCGGGGCCGAGCTTCCTTATCGGCAGCGCGCCGAGTGTTTCGCCATCGCATCAGCCGTCAGCGACGCAGCGAAGCGCGAAGAATATCGGTCGTATCGGTGTCGCAGCCGAGGAAGTACAATCATTCGACTCGGCGCGTTCCACTGCGCATACAAGCGCGATCACGTGTGCCCCCGCAGTCATGGACCACTGCGTACACCTCCGACGGCGCACACTGCGAGGAGCACAACACGGAATTCCGTAGCAGCTGTCGCTCGACGAGCACGTTTAGCGGCCGCTACACCACGTTCCCGGCGAGGAGACGGCATCGTGCGTCCGGTGTGTTCGATGGCAACGCCGAACGACGGTCCGCCAACAGAGCCGGTGCTGCGATCTTCGCGACAACGCCATGCGGCAGTACGAAAGTCGCGTCGCTACCATCGTGCGACGGCCGTGGTTTGCTGTCGGCGCAACGTCACTTACCTGACACAAGCGCGTCGCGTACGGACACCCGAGACGACCTCGGCAAACCCGACCACGGAGGAGTGAGTCGACGGGGGAGAGAGTGTGCACAGCGGCACACTCGTTCGTTGTCGGGAGCGGCACGGTGCCGAGGCGTCTCTCGCGTGCGCACGCTCGCTTGAAAAGCGAGAATGCAGCCTCGATCAACCGCGACCCCGTTTTATCGCCCTTAGCGTCAACGCGATGCTCGTCAGCCCAATCGTGGCGCGACTAACACTCGTAGAAATTCTCATCTGAATTTCGGAGTATCATTCCAACACAAACTAAGAGAGACGTTGCAGAGAGAAGTTCGCGTGTTTTGCACGTGCACCGGCAGTGCAAGTGAGTGCGCCTCCTAGTTTCGCTTCCACGAGCCACACCCAAATAAGATTATGAAGCACTCCGTTGTAGTCACGTGTTTCCGGTTTATATCGCCTCCAGTTTGACACAACCAGTTAAGACTTGTAGCAACGCAATCTTGAACAAATTTACACTTGACTTCGCGGTGCGAATGCGATTAATCAATGACGAGACACTGAAGGTCAAATTTTTAATTTTCGAATTTCGCGCCTTAACGGAGGTTGACAGGTAGTCGTGACGTCATGAATTTTAAAGTAACCTTTCGCGCTTAGGGCGTCGCGGCTGCGCCGAAGTTATCGAAACTTGCCAAGCTCAGTTTCAACTCCTCTTGAAGTACTATGCACCACTGCTGCTTTTTTTTTTTTTTTTGATACAGTAGACTCCATCAAAAATGCGACCTCGCCACGCCCCTTTTCTTGTTGAGCATTCTTCTCACACACTTTTGCCTTAGAAGTACCTAACTTTGGCGACAAGAGTCCGCTTTCCATTTTAGAAAAAAATGACCTGCTGTTGCGCTAAAAGCGCTTTTTTTTCTTTTTTGCAATTTCTCCCACGTTGCGAAATGTGACCGCCACCGCAGCCAGTAATCGAGCTCGCAACGTAGACGCTCCATGGCAGGTGGTGTTGTGAGGTCATGTTGTTGTACATCATATACGAAAAAAAGGCCTTTAGGTCAGAAGATATATTGTCTCCCCGTCTTAACTTCAGACATTACTAAATAACGCAAAAAACAACTAACAAAGTGAAGACAACAGAAAGGACAGAGTGCATTATGCACTCCATCCTGTCTTCACTTTTTTTACTTTTTTGTTGCTGTTTCTAACTAATTAGCTATGTCCATAGGTCGACAAAAAAAAAAAAAAAAAAACAAGTGAAATTACTCAGACTCGCTCAATAACTACATCTTGCACTTTTAATTTACTCAGACTCACCAAAATTTTCCAGAACCAGACTGACTTGCACTCACAGAAATTTCAACCAGACTCTCAGCTCGATCAGTAGACTCACGAGCGAGTTCACCAACCTACGGCCATGTCTGAAGCTAATATGCACCAACTGGCTTGACTCGCTTCTCTAATATTGTTTTTGTGGTTGTTGAACCATACATCAGTGTATCATATCGAGAACCAAACCTGAACTGGAGCATTGTTCTGCTCTTTGTCTTATTTCATTTCAACATATGCCGTAGTAGCACAAATACGACGGGACACAAGGACAAGAAGAAACACGACACTCCCTTTAAGTGTCCTTGTGTCCCATCGTATTTGCTCTACTACGCCATATATTAAATGATATATCACCAACTAGCCCAGCTCTCAACCCAATTTCTGTTTTGCTATAGCGAACAAAATAAAAGGACGATTTCACAGTCTTGGTTTGCCCCTTCACTTGGAGCATTTTACCAAGGCATCTCCTGCCACTGCATCGTAACCACGCTACTTTTACATGCAACTAAGTCATTACTGTGCATTTCACAGCGATAAACCGACAGAGGGTACTTTGGCCCAGTTTCTAGAACAGCTAAAATCTCTCTTTAGAGTAGCACAACAGCCTTTGGTAGCATTTAACTAACGCAAATATTTGTCGATAAGCTTTATCAGTTGTAGTACATGTTCACCAAAATCAATATATGCACAAACACATGCATCTATCTTCAATAAGAATACCCCGAAAGATGAAATTATGTTACTGCTTGCTGTTTTTCTGCACACATCCATAAGTTTATTCGGCGCAGTGACTTCAGGCCACCCAGCATTTTCCCAGAATTCCCCATATTTGTGAACAAGTATGACTTTCTTTGACACTTTCAGTTACAGTACTGGAAGCACAGTCTGTGACAAATTTTTATACACTCTGCTTACTATCTGGAAAGGCTATTCTGATGATGTTCATACTGCTAAATGTAAGCGGCCGAAATGCATATTGTCGACGCAAGTGTGCGCCCGACGAACAGGACAAAGATCGCTTGCTGCTCGAACTTGGTTCCGGACTGGCCAGCGCTGCAAACGCTCTTGCAAATGTATTTTGCGAATAGCCTGCAGTGCAAGTGACTCGTTACTCACGCAGCATATTTGGTGGAGGTGTAACATTCCCTGTCCTCATCAAGCAGCTCCGTAGTGGCCGCATCCTTCAGCTTCCCACCATGGCTTCCACTGACAACCTGCCCCCTTCTCCATCTGTGGCTTCTACGACAACCTTTGCCACGATCCCTCAGAGCAACCTATCAATACTATCAATTTTATCACAGCAACCCAGGTATTCTTTGCGTGGTGAAGTGCCTGCTTTTACAGCGAAAGCTATTATAAGATCACAACAAGGGTCGCGTGTGCCATTGTTGTCCGCTGCCGCTGCCAGTGTGAAACCCTCAACTTTTTCTTGAGCATGAATGAAGTCAGTCGAAAGGATCAAAAGCCACTGCCATTTATGCAGAACTCCTGACATTACATAGACTTCCGATTCCACCACGTGCCGCTCCGCAACAAACATGAAGCGCCCGCCGAATATGCACTGCATGCTTTAAGCATCGCGCACCATAAGCAATGTGTTCACACAAACAAAGTGCTCAACGTATGAAGCGCTGTTTCATGTTTTGGAAAACAAAACGAAAGGAATGCCAGTCACACAGCGAAGCGGCAGTGCCCCGGTCGTAGACCTAAATGTTCACATAGCCCACAGCCACCACAAAGCAACACTTGTTGCACGTATTGAAACACTCGTTTTGTGTTCCCTGATTATGCACAGACACAGAGCAGTCACCAATCACCACGTATGAAAACTGAGCCATGTGATGGTGAACTCGCCATGAACCACGCATAAAGCATCGATGTGCCTGTTAATGTCGTTTAAATCGATATGAATGCTCAGAAGCATGCATTACCAGCGCTCAACGCATTTTGTCACCACGAGTCTGCAAATCATGTAAGTTCCATGGCGCGCACTAGACAATGAGTCTACTCTCGCAACCCCCAACACCCGACGTACGAATGCGCGCCGTGCAGTGGTTTCCTTTAATGCAAAATGAAACGCAATGCAAATTTGCTTGTTTAAATAAATAAATAAGTTGCCAATGCCGACAAAAAGGGAGAGAGTTGCATTCATTCTGACTGCACACGGAACTGTAAAATGTCCTTCACAGAACTCCTGCGTTTCGCGGACACCAGTTTAAGAACCCATGCTCGAAATAAAATCATAAATGTAAAGAGATACTAGGCACGCTGCAGTAGTAGGATACAAAAATGTCATGATCGAACTTTATAAGGTGCCCCTTGTTGTTCTAGAAGTGCCAGTTACACAGGTCATCGTGGCACGAGTCTCCATTGAAATACGTTACATATCCAAAGGTGAGATCTCTCACCCGACATGTTAGAACTACCCAATTCCTTTTGTGTGCTTCATTGCCAAAATGTTAAAAGCCCCATGCCTGTGACAGCACAGTCACAGTGAAAGCTGGAAGAGCGGCACTTCTATAGCCACAAACCCTCTTGAAACTACGAATACAAGTACCTTTGCAAGATATCCAGTATATGCCAAAAATACATTTTTTAGAATTTGCCAAACACTTAGTACACTATTATTTGTCAACTAGTACACTATTGTCATTCTGCAAATGGCGAGGCACCCCCAACATACTTGCAAGGCATTATGGGCCCGTTGTTAATGCTCTGGCTAATGACAAAGAAGAATTATGGCTGAGCCTCTTGTAATGGGTTGAAAGCATTGTACGACCCACTCGTGACGCAACTGCGTCATTGTTATTTTACTCTTCTATCACCCTATATTACACATGTTAACGTCATTCCTTTCAGAGATGAAGCCTGTATAGGATCTCTTTGCAAAGAATATTGAAGCACCAGCCACAGACAGGGCCCAGGTTCTAACAACATCTTATCCTGAATATTTATTCCTATTTCGTTTCGTTTTTTTAATATCGTGCGATAACTGTTACACACACCAACAGACAACCATGGCATCAAAAACAGCTGTTATGATCTCACAACAGCTTTCGCTGTAAAATGTAATATGTAAAATGTAATATGTGGGAGCCAAATGAAAGACGAAAAGACTGGTCAACTTTGAGCACTAAGGTTCTTTGAACAATTATTTGCAGAAATCTAAACGTCCAGCTGTTATTTTATAACTGAATTTCGTTTCTGCTGGAATGTATGACACACGCACGATTACAGAATGACATAGTGGTGTTCCTGTACTTGATGTTTCAGATACCGTGCCAAGTGTGGTAGCTGTTGGTAGGAGAGATTTAAAAGTACATTTTGAAATCTGCTTTGTTTAATACAACTATATCACTAACATCCACCATACAGATTAAAATAAATCAGAATTTGTTGGGCAACCACAAGACAGCTGGCAGCTCCCTTATCGAGTCACCACACTTCTCTGCCCAAAATCTAACGTGCTTGCATTGTACCAATTGAAAATCGTTTACTTGAAATCTGCATGTTTAAAACTGAAATGTAAAACAGTTTTGCTATGCCCTACCATGGCTGAACTCAACCAATATTAGCTCAGACTGCTTGCGCAGCTAGCAAAAATAATGAAGTACTACAAACAGCCTACAATGTAACATCAGTTGCTACTTATTGCCTCACCGTCCAGACAGAATGTAAATTCTAGTGATTGTAACGTTCAGAGCCGAACACAAGCTGTTACACGTTGCACTTATCACTCTGCTGGCTGCCTTCGCTGTCGCCAGCTAGCATGTTCACGCAAGCACACGTATACATGACACGCATCATGGCCAATAAATGTGTGTAGCGAAGTGGGTGGATTAAGGTTACGAATAAATCTGCACATTTTTCGAGCCTGTTTCGCATAGACAACGCCAGCAGATAGGGGAGTGTACCAAGCCAACTTTTTCAAGACCTATCGACTTCTAAAAATTGCCGGAGTTGGGGGTTAGACCCCATCTCGTGACAACGCTGGCATTGTGAGCGACCAAAAGGCCTCGCCAACCGTGCTCAACAGTTTCATCTTGAATGAATGAACAGCGCGACAGGAACCAAAGACGAGAAGCGAGGACGAAAGACTGTAAAATGCAAGAAAATGGTTGCGGATTGTCAAACTGATGTAGCAAATATATATACATATATAAAATCCCATGTTCTTGCAATAATTCTTACATTGGGCAACCTAGACGCTGCGTAAATATTGGAATACAAGAGCACATGCAAAGTGTTAAAATTTAAATGGCACAGGATTTCATTTGGCCATTCACTAGTGCAAAAGTGCTTGCAACCCAAGTCTTCATGAAATGAAGATCTTTAACTGCCGCAGAAACCAACGCATACGGAAAACAATGAAGGCATTTTACATGTCACCGGACAGCCAATATTGTATCAGTCAGCCTTCGTTCGCATTATCAAATGCAGAAGTGTAAAATCTTGTGGAATGTTTGAATAATGTTTTTGTTTTATCAGCCACACGGCACTTTTTTTAATACTTTTTGTCACCTTGTGTATGCGTGATGGTTGTTTGTTCTCATATTTTTTTCCAGATGCTATTTATTCTGCTTCACCTTAAAATTAAATTTCAGTTGCAAGCCAGCGCTGTTTGCCTTTGCTCTTCTAGTATGTTTTCTGTCACAATGTTTATTCGTTCAAGATGGAAGCACACCAACTTGCCCCGGTTAACCATTCTGTTGCACTACAATTTTACTAGTTTCGTTAATGCATAGTGCTCCTCAAGCCTTGCTCAATCACAGAACTCACTGTAAGCACAGCTAAAACAAAAAATGCTGCATCCATATGGAGCTGGGTTGCTTTCAAGCAGCACTCTAGGAATTTAGGTCAGGAGCCATAGCACCACCTACTAAGCAGTAAAAGGCAGCAACATTATGACGTCATTCTCTCCCGCTTAAGGAACGACAACTTGAATGGCACAAGGGATACGTGAACCCTCCAGACATGATTTACTGTTAAATTAAGCACAATGTAGAAAATTCTGCACAATTTCTGTATAATTCAAGTTAACACATTGTATTCACCTTTAGAGTCCCCTCAAAAACGATTCATCAGTTGTGCGCGGCATTCGAAACTTTTGTCATGATAGAAGTAATTGATTTCACTTGCAGGTTAAGCAGAGAATTCTGCCATAGGTGACAAGACTTTCTATACAGGAATGCATAGGGCCAATCACGAATGAGTTACACACCAAAAATTAATAAGCTGTCCAGCCTTTAACACGAATTCCAGTGTTTAATTCATTCAAAACCACAACAAGAAGGCATTAGACATAGAACTTCCAGTATAGGAGCCGCAAATACGCTGCAAGCCTTCATTCGTGCAAGCACATGCACGCTCATGTGCTAGCGCACAACAGAATGGGAGAGAGATAAAGAATCATTCACTGGTGAAGGCATTTTTTAAACACACAAGCACAAGTGAAGCATGAAAATAAACCACCTTTAATTACATATCACAGCAATGGGAAATGAACAATGTCAAATGTACAGCCATGACATCAGCTGAAGAAAAAAAAACAAGCTATAAATGGGAAAAGAGACTCAAATTTTACAAGGGATGTCTTATCTCTTGCACGTGTGAAATTGTGCTGAAAGGAACATTCAATCACAAACCAGTGTCAAGCAAAAAGCTTCCCACTGTAATGTTGTTGCCTGAGCAGTGCAAAACAAGGCACCATCAATGAAGCTGACTTGCTTGGGACTCTGCCCTTCGGAATACTTCAAGTTTCTTTGTCGATTGTGATGCATCCGTCATCAGCCAGAGGTTGGTAGATGAGCTCCAGGGCATTATTCATGAGGTCTATTTCGATGGGGTCACTGTCCTTGTTCTGCGGCGAAACACAAAACACAACAGTGACGGAGCATAAACTGATGAACATGCACGTTTTGCAAGAATTGCCCAATCGGAGTTGCACCGAGGGGAGGTTGTAAACCCCACTCGAACAGTCGAGAAATGTGTTATTTGGTCTACTTGAGTTTCAGTGCTACATATATAGCTACAACTCGCTTAAAATCTAGAACAATGGCACCGTCGTGTGAAACACTTTATGGCCTACATATGTTCCTATTGTGAACACTTTGAAACTTGTTATTGAAAAATGTTAACTAAGGAGTTCAGCGAAAAACACTATACACTGTGGAACTTCCGGTAGGCAGCCAGTGTCATCCTATTGTCACAACATGCTTCATGCCTACACGTGCTACACAATCAACTTTGAGGCTCCTTTTCTTGAGCACACAGAATCATCTTTGCGGCATTGTCAGTAATAAATCTAGTGATGATATGTTAAGCTGTGACATCGTGTACGTGTTACGGGCTTTCCTTGTACAATTGACACCATGACGTATGTGTCTGACCCACTCCACGATGCTTTAAGAGTTGGAATGAGACTGCCAAGCATCGCATCTGTATAAACCTGGCTCCTAAATGCACAATCATGAATAGTGACTACGCCGTTTTGAAGGCCCACAGCAAAAACGAGTGTTTGTCACAGCTTTGACCCAGTCGCTATCGAGGCAATCATAGATAGTGGCAGCGCCATGCAAAGTCGAAAATGAAACAAGTCTGCCGCAGTTGCTGAAGCCTTGATCACTAACAGTATGATGGTGATAAAACTGTGGATGGCAACCACAATATCCTGAAGGCCCACAGTTGTTTCGGTTGCTTGAAAATGCAGTTTTCTCTCCTTTGCATACCACATTCGTGGCACCTCGTGCTTGACACACTCAAAATATCGTTTTAAGTAACTGGTCTGTGGCCAAATATGACTAAATTAAGGAAATAAAAGCTTTCAGAGACCATACAACACATTTGATTATCCTCTAAATAAACCGGGGTCATATGAACCAGCTTTCACTGTAAAGGCTGCTTTGCTAAAATGAGGCATGAAATATCAGCATGGCCTTTGTTAAGGCCGTTATCTTTGGATGACACTACTTAATTTTCTAGGAACATCAAGTAACGATGAAGAATTTACACTGACCTTTATTCTGGCAAGACACCCAACTTTCTCATCAAACAGAACGTCCGACATCATCAGCCTTGCCTTGCTTTTGTCACCAACAATGCGGACGCCGTGGAAGCGACAGGCCCTTGCTTGCATGGGAACCTCCAGAAACTTTGATGGCAGCACGCGCAAGCTGTAAAGAGGCAGCGGCAATGACAGGCACAAATTGAAAAGAGAACAGCAGGGGAATTAACGGCCGGCATTAGCCAACACTTCAATATGCAACGAGTAAACAACAATTAAGGCCAAAAGGAACCATACTTTTCTGTTGCGATGGATTCGCTGTTCCCATAGTCGACGTAGTAGACTGTCACCTTATTCTTTTTAACACCAGTCACAATGCCACGATACCACAGTTTGTCGTAGCCGTACTTGCCAATGCAGGCTGTGCCTAGAAGGAATATAAACAAAGGGAGGAGTCATGTGAATAACACAGACATGCACATACACACAAACACAGACACTTGACTGTAAAAAAAAAGTAATCACAGCATAGAACCCAAGCTGCAGTGAAACCACCTTTACAAGGAGGTTATACACGCTCAAGCGTCTTTAAATACCGAGCTCGCACGCTTACCCGAGCAAGCATCCTTCCCCTCTCACCGTTTTCACTCTTTTGAAACAGTGAATGCATGCATACTCAATAGAGCCCTTCATTAAAGCCATGGGTGTGCATTTTTGAAAAAAATTCTTAGTGTCTTCGTCCACCATAATAAATTTTCATCCAAACTGAGCAAGCCCCAACCCCCGCCTCCAAATTTTGTCAGATTTATCTTTTACCAAAGGAAATGCGGATTCACTCGTGATTTCACAATATACATATATTAATTCCTTTCGAACAATTCGAAATTTCGAATACGGTAATATTTATATGAAAAGGTCTTTTTTAATGAATACTCGAAGTGCCTGAATATTTTGCCCATCCCTAGTTTTTACACCGTTGGCCTTTCCTCATAAGGCCTTCTCACTCTGTACCAAGTTAATGCCCCAGACTTATCACTAATCTCTGATCATAAACACAAGGCCAGATGCGTTTTCTGAAACACAAACACCTTTTATTATTCTGCACAGCACTCATTCAAATAGTATTATATAATTGTTAGGGCTTAACGTCCCAAAACCACCACACTATAGTGGAGACCTCCAGAAATTTCTATTACCAGGGGTTCTTCAACCTGCACCTAAATGTAAGTACGCAGGCCTTGAGCATTTTCTCATCCATTGAAACTCATTTAAATAGCCACCAGCCCATTGACCCAGTTTCCACTTTCAATTACAGTCGACGACCGACTTTTCAGACCCTCAAGAGACCGCGAAAATGTTCGAAAAGTCAAGCAGTCCGAAAAAGCAAATGTGGCCCCAAAATGCTTGTGTGCGATAAAAGTGATTGATCGTCTTCTGGACTATGCTTCGCTTCGGTGTGAGCATGTCGGCCCGCATTTCGGCTAGAATGAGACATCTGAGGGAATCTTGACGCCCGCATGGCAAAGGTCGTTGATGAGCTCCTTGCTTCCGGACACCTGGTCGACCACGCCGTCCTCGTCCGATGCGGCCAACTTGCCATTGAACACAAATCCCGCATAGCGGAAACGATGGCGCAGCATTGTTGATGCCATCGACTTCCACGCATTGGCAAGCATGCTAAAGTGCTCCAAGCAAATCGACCGAGTACGCTTTTCCACTGTCGTGGCACACATCCTCCCGCGTAGGCATGTGACTGATAGTTCACTTTGAAAGTACGTATGACACCCTAGTCCATGGACTGTAGGACACTTGTCGTGTTTAATGGCAGGAACTCCACGCGCTTTCAAGTTGTGAATGTGCCCGTGTGCAATGCAGTTGTCCACAAATACCGTAGTTACTCGAATCTAACGCTCACCTTTTTTCCGGTTAAGCGAGTTCATAAATCACATGCACGTTAGAATCGAGTACGAAAGAAAAATGAACACGGTCAGTCTAGTGCCATCGACATTTTCAAAATGGCCACCCCCTACGTGCGTCGGCATGGCGCATCGGCCATTTCTGCCTATGTGTTTCTTATGTGCGGCACTTCGTACGTGTACTGAGGAGTTCGTCATCTTGTAGTGCATTAGCATCGACGGCATGGAAGGGCCGACACCAAAAACTCGAGTGCACCACGATGCCGCTTTTAAAAGAAAAAAGAAAAGTCATCGCGTGTGCAGAAACAGACTGAAATCATGCCACATCGCAGTCATTCGGAGTTCCTGAAACGTGCGTGCGGTACTGGCGGAAACAAAAGCAGAAGATTGTCGACAGCAAAGCTTCACGCAAAGGCTTCAGTGGACCACAGCAGGGTCGGTTTCAGCAAATTGAAGAACTGCTCGGCGAGTATGTGCTTGAGCAGCGAGCGGCACAGCGGCCCGTGACGACAGAACTGCTCCAAGTGCGGGCTATGCAATTAGCCTTAGAAAAAGGTCTAACGCGGAGCCAGTTTAAAGCGAGCAGGTGCTGGCTAACCAACTTTATGAAGCGGAAAGGCATTTCCCTCCGAAGGTGAACGGGCATATGCAAAAAGTTTTGCGGAGGAGTACGATGAAAAGCTTCACAGTTTTCAGAGGTTCGTCTTAAACTTGTGGCACAACAACGGCTACCAGCTTCGGCAAATCGGGAATGCCGATCAGACGCCTCTTTACTTCGACATGCTTGGCACCACAACCGTCGAGAAGAAGGGGGCGAAGCAAGTTTGCGTGCTGACATCGGTCCACGGTAAAACTACAGTGACGGCAATGTTCAGTTACACGTCAGATGGGCGCAAGCTTTCCCCGTACTTCCTATTTAAATGGAAGACGCTCCTGAAAGGAGTTGTTTTTTCGAGTGGTGTGATCATGCGGGCCAGCGAGAAAAATGGGTGCGCGTTACAATCGAGGGCGCGGTAGAATCGAGTAAATACGGTAACAAAATTTGTGGTCGTCTAAATCAAGTTTGCGATCTAGTCTTCTCCCTATGCTTAGCACCTTTGAAGCATATCAGCGCATTCGATTTGCCAGTATGAGCATCAGCAGTTCTTCCCTGCCGGACATATCGCTACCGATTAGTACAGTAACTGGCTCTTTACTGTGCTTGCCACCATGACAAAGGTCGCCAGCAAAGGCAAGAGTTTTTTTTGGCATCAGCTTGGAAAAAAGTCTGGTCTTGTCACAGCTAAAGGTGTTGTCTGGCAAGTACCCCAATAAAATGGACTGCAGCTTTTGAGAATTATAGTTCGCAGCAGCGCAAAGATTGACAGCTGCACTTTCACCGCACAGATTTTAAAACAGAGGTCGAAACGCGTTTTGAAGTTTCTTTCAGCTTTTTGCTTTTCATTTCAGCTTTTTGCTTTTTGTTTGAAGAGGCCCCCAGAGACTGGAATCTTGCTGGCCACTGTCGACTTCAGCCATATGAGAAAGGCCTCCAAGAGCTTTGCGCAGGTGCCTTGGCTTACATTTTTTTGGCGACATCCAGTAGACTTTTCCCCTGCCTCCAAAATCTTCTGCTTGTTTTTCATGTAGTCCAAAAAAGTCTTTTGGAATTATGAAACTTTTTCGCAACTTCTGCCTGCGATCGGCCACTTTCAACGAGCTTGACGATGGCAGTTTTCTTCGCCATTGACATGGTGACATACTTTTCTCACTTCATCGGAGCTCTCGAGGGTGCAGTGACATCGACGATCGCTTATCCATTATGAAGTGCATTTAGCTAGGCGACACATGTGGAACAAATGACACACACTGTTACGTTTGGCTCGGGTTCGTCTTAGCAGACGCCATTGTCCGTGAGCCGGTCTGCGAGAAGGCTTTCACCCCAATTTCGGCGCCCGGTCGGAAGCGAAAAGCACGACGCTGTCCTGCAGGTGGACCAGACAGTTAGCTGTGGCCGCGTTACGAGGAACTCGACAAAAGCTTTGCGAACTTCATTGAGTGGGGTCGAACAGCATGAGACGGCGTCACTGTTGCAGTTCTCATGAAGTCAACCTTTCCAGACAGCCATTGTCACCTACGCGAGGTCGTGACAAAGAATCAACAGTTCGGAAGCATGGGAAGGCGTCGCAGTTCTCAGTGATCCAGCACCTTGCCTGCTGAGTTCTGGAAACACCGTAGCAGAACACAACCATGGATCGCTGCCGACATTCGTGTGAGCGGCCATCTTCTGAACCCCAGAGTAGCTAGACTTCTCACCGGTCTCTACCCCCTCGCCCTGCGAAGTCTTCAAGGCGTGGGCCGGGTACATCACTGTGTGGTGCGCTCGTATTACATATTGGACATTTGCGTCCGTGTTCCTCATCAGCTGATTGGGCCAATATCAGCACCCCTTCTGGTGGATGGATCACTGAGACTTAACGTCACCTGATTCATGGCAACAGCGCCTTCTTCGGACTGTCATGCAAGGAATCGACGGGCTATAAAAGCCGAAGACATTTGTAAATAATTGCTGAATCTCTGCTGAATCACTGTACAGTTCTATCTTTCTCATTATGTAAATAAACCTTTGTTCAGTCTCTTAAAAACGTGTCTCCACACTGGTGAGCATCCGCTATGCGGACGATGGCAGGGAGCCAGCTACTGTAAAGAAACCTGTTGTACCTGCCATGGACCTCGTACCCCTTACAACTGGTGGCAGCGGTGGAAGGCCATTAACCCTCAATCCTTTACAACGCACAGGCAAACAGTCCATCGAGGTGGTTCGATACGTTTAACGGTCACAGCAGACAAGAAAAACTTCGCGACAGCAACGCTGATGTGGAAACAGCCTCGATCGAGCAGTTAGAGGTGTTCGAGGTAGCCACCCTAGCGGAGGAAAGCAGAGGTATAAGCCACGCACAAGGCCAGCACTGGTTCGAGGCTATTGGAAGAAAACGTAAACAAGACGGCGGCATGAAAAGCGGTGGTAGTCAGCTTGACTGACGCTTGGAAAGTTTGAAATATCGAACAGCCCGCCCTTAAGTGTCCAAAATATTGAGCTGTGAAATATATTGAATTTACAGGGTATGTACTGATGCTGGACAAAAGTCCAAATTATCAAGCATGTCCGAAAAATTGGGCGTCTAAAATATCGGTCGTCGACTCTATTATTTTTCTTGTTTTTATTTATGCTCATTCACTGCAATAAACCTGCCTGGTTATTTGAGATATGCCTCGCCCATGTCATCCTTTTAAGATGCATTGCAAGGGCTCCAGTTATTTTTTACCTCAATATTTTTTTTCTGTGTTTATCCCCTGCTGCTAATACCATACAATACAGCATGTTTCATTGTATTCCTTTTTCTTTTTATGTGAATAAAGCGACATGAATCTGCATGTTATGTAACCCAGTCTTTCCTGCCATACTTGAGGAATCTGCAATAATAACTCACGGGATTGAACGTACCAAGATCACAACACTATTACCACATTTTTTCTCACATATAATTTTGATTGATTGATTGTGGGGTTTAACATCCCAAAACTACCATATGATTATGAGAGACACCATAGTGGAGGGCTCCGGAAATTTTGACCGCCTGAAGTTCTTTAACGTGCACCCAAATCTGAGCACACGGGCCTACATCATTTCCGCCTCCATCGGAATGCAGCCGCCGCAGCCGTGATTCGATCCCGCGACCTGCGGGTCAGCAGCCGAGTACTTTGGCCACTAGACCCCCGCAGCGGGGGGCTCGCATATAATTTAAAACTGCATATGAACTGCACCCCTAACTACAAACTGTATTAAAAAGAAATAGAAGATTAAAATCCCTACCCGCTGCCGCGAATCTGCCTCTCTGCATCACCATGAACCAGTGCCACATAGCCAACTTGCCAACCAAAATGTACTAACAACCCACACCCCAACCCCAGCTCAGCATTTTCAATCTTTGGGTGGATTACATACTAGAAAATATAGTATGATGCACGCTGTAGTGGCAGGTCAGACAATATGTCAAATAAGTAGGTAAGTAAATCAACGTACAAACAACAAGCAAACATGAAAACTTGAGGCGACAACGGTTGAACAGTACAGCTGAACCCCATTCATCGGAGAGCAATTTTTGTTTTTTATGTGAGGTGTCTCTTATAAGCAGAGTACCACATATGCGTTTTCTTAACACCTATTTTGGTGCGAGCACACAGCTGTCTTTTATACCCATTGGTCTCTTACATCAGTGTCTCTTATATAGGGGTTTGACTGCACTAGCTTTATTCCCTTCAGCGGTTGAGTGTAAACTGTACATATCAACTTTGAAGGTGCGTAACATAATGTGCATTTCTTTAAGTGGCTTGAAAGATGGTGTGCACATTCGCGAAGGCTTCCGAGCGGACAACTAGCAGTCACTGAACTTCATTGGGCTGCGTATTGGCGCAGAAGACCACTTTGCTGGAGACACTATCATGCCGAACAACTGTTCGACGTGCCGCATGCTATGACCAACACCAAGAATACATCTTTTCCTCTGCTTCAAACAACTAATAAAAAAAAACAACTGTGAATGCATTTGCGGTCTAATATGGTTCTTCTTATTCAGAAATTGAAGCTGACTGATTGCAGAATAATGACTGAGCGATAATGACGGAGAGGGCAGATGCTCTGGCCTTGAAAATGGGGCACACGAACTTCAGTTGCAGCAGTGACTGGTTTGACCGTTACAAAAAAGGAACAGTGTGGTGTCCAAGTCCGTGCACGGCGAGAGTGGCACTGTCGACGCAGCCACTGCAGACAATTGGCTGCAGCAGCCGGATCGCCGACTTGCAGGAGAGTTATGCTGACAGCGACATTTTCAACCTTGACGAGGCAGAACTTTCTTATAAAATGTTGCCGAGCCATACCTTCACCCCGAACAATGGAGCGTGTCCAGGAGTGAAACAACGAAGGGCAGGGTCACTGTCTTTTTTGGGGCAAATGCCACAGGTGAAGAGAAGCTGCCGTTACTCAAAATTAGCAAAGCTCTTAAAGGGCCACTCACCAGGCCCCATACAGAATTTTAGTTAGACAGTGGAAGTTGTTGGGTGTTCGATAACGAACGTTTTGCCACAAAAATTTCTCGAATCGGTTCATTACGAGCGGAGAAAACAGGTCTTTTGAAGCGGCGCGAAACGAGGGTGAGAGGAGACGAGTTCGAAACCCTTGCCGCTCCTCCGCGTAGCCTTCGCAAGCCAAACCTCTTCCCCACACTCTCTGGCATCCGACCAAGAGGTGACGTTCGCATGGCGTGCCCGAACAAGCTCAGCCCCGTGCACGCGAGCGGCGTTGCTTTGTTGACCATCGTTATTTTGTGGTCTTCTGCCTGTTTCTGCGGGATTGTTTGGAAACTCTGGCTTAGACGCGGTAGAGTAGATGAGCACAACGAGTGCGCGAACGCATAGGAGCGTTCCACGGCGGTCGTCTGCTCAATGCGCTTACCATGGGAACCCGAACACATGTGAAACGCTGGTACATTATCCCCGCATTTCGTAGTATTTCACGGGAAAAAAAATGTAAGAAAAACGTGCACAAATTTTTATTGCGTCTCATTATTTATTTCAAGTTTTACTCATCTCTTAAAGCAACTAATACATAAACTACGCATGTTGTGTAAAATCATTTTTGCCATGTGACGTGGTATACTGTTGACGTCAGAGCAGAGTCGTCTACGTAGAGGACCAACGTGACCGCAGTGCTGTGTACGTAGGGCCACTCCAACGCCCACGTCATGCCCTCATTCTCTACGCGTGCACAGGTAGAGGGGAGGGCGAGCAGCTTTCATCTTAAAATTTGACCCATTTCCGCGGCGCGTAGCATTGCAAATTTTGGCAGACGTGATCATGAACGCCTCGTCTACGCATTGCGCTTGTCAGCTCAAAATTGTCAAACCTAGTGAGTGGCCCTTTAAGCCTAGGTAATTTATAAATGCATGACTGCCAAATAGAGTTATTTATAGCACGAATAGAGAAGCGTGTATGACAGCTACAATTTTCGAAGAATATGTTCGTGCTATAGATAACAACATGGCCAAGTAAAACATAAACGTCCAGTTCATTGTCGACAACTGCCCAGGCCACAGCAAAATAGAGAGTTTGGAGGCAGTGACAGTTGAGTTTCCGCCTGCAAATACGATGTCTGTGCTGCAACCGATGAACCAAAGTATCATCAAAGGGGCCCCAAAAATCTACCGAAAGAGCTTTCTCCACAAAATTTTGTTGTCTTATGAAAACGGCGAAGGCTATAACATTGACCTGCGGGAGGCAGTACACCTTTTCAGCAGCGCTTGATAGCAAGTTCGCACAGCAGCTATCGCCAATGGCTTTGCACACGCTGGGTTTTCACATGCCACCAGTTAGCCAGAAGCAGAAATGGCAGAGACATAACTTCACAGAGTATGAGGAACTTTGTCAAGACACCGTCAAGCTTACAGGTAACGGTGCCGCCGAAAATGATGAGACATTTCTGGAGTAAGCGCTACAGTCGAACCTCGATATATCGAACGGCGCGGCGATCGCGAAATAGTTCTATATATCCAGAATTCGATACAAAAAAAATCACGAAAAAAATGCGTCAACAGCTTGCTGAAAACAATCAACGAACGTTCAAGCGTGGTGCAGTAGATACTCACTTGAACGTTCAAGCACATTGTGTTGGTTTAAAATATTGAAGAAGAGTAGCCTGCTTTTTGTTGGCCATGGCGTGTTTGACGACTGCGTCCTCAATACAGTCCGGGCGATCCATAAGTCATAGGCCGGTGCCTTCAATCGCGCCACAGTGGCGGCGCACAAGGGCCAAGGCAGCTACGACCTCAGCTGATGTCGGGAGCGGGGCACCATCAGAGCTTGCGGGATCCACCTCGGCAGAGTCTTCATTTGGCTGCTCAACAGTAGCTTCGGCGAAAATCTCCACATCCGTGACCTCCGCCGTTTGGAGTTAGGCCTGTCGCGCACCACAGCGCGCGACAGGCCTAACTCCGAACGCACGAACACTGCGAGCACAACGACTGATGCCTGCCGATGCTACGAGGGAGGAGCTTGCAACAAGTGCGCAGTGTGCCGTTGACACCATAGAGACTGCAACGACTGCAAGCTGCAAGGCTGCGACGCGAGTCCGGGTGTAAAGCGCGCACATGGCGCGCCCATGTCGGCTCGCCTGACTGCTTTCGCTTTCCCGGCGGCAGTGCGGGCCGCGTCCGATACAGTCGTCTGCGTCCTTTCCCTCCTATATTTTCTTCCTCAATCTTTACCTCCCACTCCCCCTTCCCCCGCGTGAAGCCGTGTCGGTGCCTTTGTATTGAAAGAAAATAACAGCTCCGCCCCTTTCTCTTCACTTTCCTCATTCAAGAATCTCTACCGCAAGGCTGCGGCGCGCATACGCCGCTACGTTAAAGTGGCGCTCTCGGCGCCATCGATCTGTGCAGCATTCGTAAACGCCCGCCGCTCTACCGCTACTTTCGAGAGTTGCAGGAAAGCTCGCCGCCTGTCAATGGAGCACGGGCGGTTTGGGGTGGCTGAGTTCGATACATCCATTATATGTCAAAATTTGTTCGAAATAAAAAATCAATAATGTATGCGATTTCCCGCGTGATATAGGAACCGTTCTATATAGGCAATAATTTGATATATCCGTGTTCCATATATTGAGGTTTGACTGTATGTGAGCAGGATGTGTTGGTGACAGGAGAAATGATGGACGCCGAAATCGTTCAAATGGCCACTGACGCAGGGGACGGCAGAGACGACAGCAATGACAGCAATGACGAACAGCTTCCAGATGGGCCGACATTTTCTGAGACGAGAAACTTCTGCGCTTGCTTCTAAATAAGGTCAAGTGCAGCGGCAGAGCAACTGATGCGATGTGTCAACAAGCCGGAGGACGCCTTCCGAAGCCCCAGTACGACCGCAAAGCAGACGAGCATTAGGCAGTTTTACGCTGTTAAATAAAATGGCAGTGCGGCAAAACCCAGCCAATCAGTCTCTTGTACATTAATTTTTTTTTTCTTTTAAGCCTGCACCAGAAAAACATTAGTAACTGCCACTGAAGAGCTGGTAAGTAGTAGTGATTTTCTTACAAAGGGCTCATTTTTCCCGGCAATTAGTGCGACTTTGCTTATCTTAAAAATCTATCAATCTCAACATTTTGCCTCGTTTTTATAACTTCGAGTTAACGTAGTATTACTGTATACTACTATCAATCTCGACATTTTGCCTCGTTTTTATAACTTCGAGTTAACGTAGTATTACTGTATACTACTATTAACATCAATACGATAGTGCTCTATCAAATCACCATAGCTTCAAATTTGATCTGAACCTAGAATTTACTATTCGCGCAAGCCTACCACTCTCAATTTACTGCACTCACCCAAACTGGTGTCCAGCAAGTGGGGGCAGTCATCGGCCACTTTTTGCAAGGCCTCCGCCATGTCATTGAAGGCATCAATGGATGCGTTGATGGCTGCTTGCTCGTCATTCGATGGATTGGCAAACTTTGCAAGCTGTATACTGCCCAGGTCGGCATCGTCCAGGTTTGTCACTATGACGGGAAACACACCTTTCTCGGGAAATTTCACGGCCTGATAGGGACAGGGGATGAGATCGTCGTCCGCCTGGGTTGAGAAATGCGAGAGAAAGGAGGAAGCCTTTACAACATGTTAAACGTGTTATACATATACAAGGTACGTTATAAAAGTAATGCACAAACTTTTATTTTGAAGTTGCCATTCACGGCAACACAGTAAATCTGGTTGGACAATGCGCTGGAGAATCAATGCAGTAGTTGACCAGTGTCTTCAAAATAGTGTGGGTGGAAATATGTGCCTCCATGTAGAACTTTTTTTAGCTTTGTAACACGGCACAACAGAGCTTTCACTTTAATGGCAATACGCAATCAAGTTTTGGTGAAGCTTGGAAAGAATGCATCTGAAACATTCTAGGTGCTTCAGGAGAATTACTGCATTTCAAGGTGACAGTCCAAGAGAAGGCAAAAGGCTTTAAGAGAAAATGCTACTCGAAGACACTTTTTTTTTAATATTCATCCTAGAGCAATGAAACTTGAGCTGTTTATGGAACTTTTTATGCGATTTCAAATATATAATTAGCTTTCTTGCAAGTTGCTTACTTTCAGCTCAGAGCTGCTGAATGACAAAGTGAAAACCTTAACTTTTTTGCACCCCCCCCCCCTCTTTTCATCCCTGAAATTCCGTAATTTTTTACCCTTCATAGTTCATAATGGTTCAGACAAAGTGAAGAATCAAAATCACTAATTAGAAAGCACATACAAAATACGTAACAGGCATGAAAAATAATAAATGTAAAAAAGTTCGTATTTCACCTACGTCAATAAAGGTTTACATACAACTTTTTATTATAAAATAAAATATTCAAATTTAAACTAGATGTAGTGAAGAAGAGGAGCTTCAGCGGCATTTCTCGGCGCATCAGGGGCATCGCCATCAGCATAAGCTCGTGCTTGCTGTGCTTGGCCGGACGCTGACGACTGCTTCGCTTTCTGCGTTCTGCGCTGCAAATAAACCCCGTTACAAGTGGTGGATTCTGCTGGGTTTCGATCACCCTGGAGCTTCGGAATCGCATTTTACCATCCAATATGCCTACCGACGCAAGCGCCACTCCAACTCCTCCACCGGCACCGCCTACTGTTCTCTGCGCCGGTTCTCTGCGTCTGCGAAATCCCCCTGTTTTCTCAGGCACAGAAGACAAGGACGTTGACGACTGGATTTCAATGTACGAGCGAGTGAGTACTCACAACAAATGGGATGACGCCGCCAAGTTGGCCTACGTCTCCTTCTACCTGTCGGACGTGGCCAAGCTGTGGTTTATAAACCACGAAGCGGAACTCCCTACATGGTCGGTCTTCAAAACGAGCCTCACACAAGTTTTCGGGCGGCCTGAGGTACGCAAACGCCGTGCCGAACAACGCTTACATACTCGGTCCCAGCAGCCTGGTGAGAATTTCACAAGCTATATTGAGGACGTTCTGGACCTTTGCAAGCGAGTCAACGAGTCGATGTCCGAAGAGCTTAAGATCAAGCATATCATGAAGGGCATTGAGGACGACGCTTTCCAAATGTTGCTTTCTAAGAGTCCTCGCACTGTCCTAGAACTGACCGAGTTATGCCAGAGTTTTGACGAGTTGCGCAGGCGTCTTTCCACCCGACGTCCCTCGGTGCTCGACGACTCTTCGTCCAGCCTTTCCACCCTTGGCATAGGAGAAGACCATGCCCCTCTTCTCTCCAAGATCCAAGAGTTCATCCGCTCGTCAGCTCTCTGATGTCCTGCGTACCCGATCAACCACGCAGATTGGCATCTACACTCCGCGACTTCATTCAAGACCAGGTCGCACAAGTTCTTCCTCCCGCCCGTGAACCGCCCCCAGTCACCGCACCTCTCACGTACGCCGAGGCCGTTGCTCGACCTCGACAGCCTGCGTTCCAGCCAGCGCCAATGTATTCACCGCCGCCCTTTTCGCCGCCGCCCTTTTCGCCGCCGACCTATTCACCGCCGCATATGCCGATACCACCTCGGCCGCAGTTTTCTGCCCCCCAGCCGCAAGTCGAAGTCTACTCCGACCAATGGCGGACCTACGACAACCGTCCCATATGTTTTGCTTGTGGTGGTGTTGGCCACGTGGCACGTTATTGTCGTCGTCACCAGGCTGCTCAGAACATTCGACGAATGCCCTCTTTCGACCCTCAGTTTTCTTCTACGCCTTCAAGCCCTCCTTCCTCTTCCTTTCCTTCTGATCGTCCACACGGCCCGACCCGCCGTTCCCCATCTCCACGTCGACGTTCGCTTTCCCCTATGCGTCGCCGTTCCGGACCCACCGACCAGGAAAACTAACGGCCGCAGTTCCCGAGGCACAAACTGCGTCCCCGTCGCCATGCACAAGTCCTCGCCCCTGTCCAGCTAATGTCATTGAAGTGTCAGTCGATGGTATAGTCGTCATGGCGCTTGTCGACACCGGAGCCGCTCTATCCATCGTTTCCATCAACCTGTGCCGCAAACTCCGCAAAGTTCTGACGCCATTATCCGGCCTCTCTTTTAGAACGGCTAACGCACAAAGTGTAACACCTCTCGCAGCCTGTACCACACGAGTCGTCATCGAAGGGATTGTGTATATCGTCGAATTCGTAGTGCTGCCCCCGTGTTCCCATGACATGATACTCGGCTGGGGCTTCCTTGCGAATAATAATGCCGTCATTGACTGCTGTCACGCTGAACTTGAGCTATCTGCACTTCCTGATGTAGACGCTGTCGAAGCCTCCCTGCCGTGTTATAAACTATTTGTTTCCGACGACACCACCGTACCACCGCGCTCTTCTCTGCTGGTGACTGTGTCGTGTGACGCTATTTCCGACGGTGATGTTTAATTTACGCCCTCTGCCCTGTTCTCCACTGCCCATTGCTCTTCTTACTCTCCACCATGGCGTCACGAAGATGCTCGTGTACAATAAATACGCTAGAAGGGCCTTTACCTTTATTCTATGGTGAATGTCTCGGTCACGTGCATCCGATCGATGCCCGTCGCATTTTTGACGCTCCATCTAGTTTACTTTCTACGGACCTCAGCGCACTCATTTCTGACTCTGTTGTTGACCAGTCACTCCTTGACGCTTTCCACCGCTCCATCGATGTCGCAACGTCTTCTTCAGAACGAAGCCAGTTAGTGAACCTGCTGCAAAAGCTTCGTACTTCTTTTGACAGCCACGCTTCTGGCCTCAGTCGCACATCGAACATATCTCACAAGATTGACACAGGAAGCCATACGCCTCTACGGCAGCGCCCCTACCGAGTCTCAGCGCCGGAGCGCCGTGTTATTGACGACCAGGTTGCTGACATGCTCCAGCGGGGTATTGTACAGCCTCCTAACAGTCCCTGGGCGTCACCGGTCGTTCTTGTTAAGAAGAAGGACGGCTCCATTCGGTTCTGTGTGGACTATCGACGTTTAAACAAGATCACCCGCAAGGACGTTTACCCGTTACCGCGAATAGACAACGCCCTTGACTGTTTGCAGGGAGCAGAATACTTCTCTTCGCTGGATTTACGATCTGGATACTGGCAAGTTCCTATGGAAGCATCTGACCGACCGAAAACAGCATTTGTCACACCTGATGGGTTATACCAGTTTACCGTTATGCCTTTCGGCCTTTGTAACGCTCCAGCCACTTTTGAAAGAATGATGGACACTATTTTACGAGGCCTCAAGTGGAACACATGTTTATGCTAACTCGATGACGTAGTTGTCTTTTCCACTGATATCGACACCCATTTAAATCGTCTCGAGCACGTCCTCACACGTCTCACTGACGCCGGCCTTCAACTCAACCTCAAGAAGTGTCGTTTTGGTGCCCGGCAGCTCACCATTTTTGGCCACGTCGTAACGCGGGACGGCATACTTCCTGACCCCGCCAAGCTTCGAGCAGTCGCCGATTTTCCGAAGCCAAAGAACTTAAAGCTTAGAAGTTTTGTCGGCTTGTCGTCGTACTTCCGACGCTTTATTAGAAATTTTGCTTCTGTATGTGCGCCCCTTACGGACCTTCTTAGCGGCGACAAGGACCTTTCCACCTGGTCACCAGCATGCGACGATGCATTCACCAAATTACGCCACCTGCTGACTTCACCACCCATCCTCCGCTTGACGATCCTGCCGCTCCCACGGAGGTTCATACTGATGCCAGCGGTGTTGGACTTGGCGCTGTGGTCGCGCAACGAAAGGCAGGGTTTGATGAATATGTCGTCGCCTACGCAAGCCGAACTTTAACGAAAGCCGAGGCTAACTACTCCGTGACCGAGAAAGAGTGTTTAGCTATTATTTGGGCCCTTGGAAAGTTTCGCCCCTACCTGTATGGTCACGCATTCGACGTCGTCACTGACCACCACGCCCTTTGTTGGCTATCCACACTTAAAGACCCTTCCGGACGACTTGCTCGCTGGGCGCTCAAACTTCAGGAATACGACATGCGCGTTATTTACAGATCTGGTCGTAAGCACACGGACGCCGACGCCCTTTCTCGCTCACCCATATCGGATGAAGGTGTTTGCCTCTCTTCCCTCGAGCCTGCACTTGCGTCATCCGCGTTGCGCAACATGAGGTCGTAAGCACACGGACGTCGACGCCCTTTCTCGCTCACCCATATCGGATGAAGGTGTTTGCCTCTCTTCCCTCGAGCCTGCACTTGCGTCATCCGCGTTGCGCAACATGACGGTGGAACAACGAAAGGATCTCTGGATCAGTGGCCTCATAAGCATTCTTTCTGATCCTCTCACTGCTTCGCCGTCTCGCGCTCTCCCCTGCCAGGCTAGCAACTTTTGCCTAAGGGATGATCTTCTTTATCAACGCAACTACCTTTCTGACGGTCGCAAGTGTCTCCTTGTGATACCCCGCCATCTTCGAGCTGCTATCTGCGAAGCTTTTCACGCGGACCCACAGTGCGCCCACGCAGGCCTCTTCAAGACATACGCTAGGCATCGACTCAGATTTTATTGCCGTGGCATGTATAACTATGTGCGGAAATTCATTCGCTCGTGTGCTCAGTGCCAACGACAAAAGTTACCTCCCGGGCAAGTCTACCCGTCACAACCTCTTCCT